AATTTTGAATCTTCACATGTATTATTCGGGTCGATCTGAGTGTTAACGCCCTGATCTGTCGATCTTCTTTCCACAAATGCATAAATGCAGAGCCTAGAACGCTCGGCTCGTACCAGATTCCAACCTGGCGAGCGTCCTAGTTTAACATTTCTTCAGCCTTCGGCGGAAGCATTCCAGCATGCTTGGTTGGGACATACCACTTGCGTATCATGTTGTAGAATTCTTCCATTCGACATTTTCCATGCTCATGGATATCTCCGCAGGCAGCACAGGTGTAAAAACACTTGTCCGACGGATGTCCCTTACGACCACACTTCTGACACGTTAGTCTCTTCCAGCATCCACGATCATCGTGTTTCTTCGACCCACAATGGGTACAAGCCTTCTGATTCACCACGCGATCTGGACCGCGATCTTGATCCAAATAGTCTGATCCCGCGCGTTGATCACTATATTTCTTCACGCGATCTGGTACTGTGGCCACACATAAGTTGCGTCGATCTATTTCGGCGTCTGATCCACTAATATCCGAGTCTGACTCACTGCTACTGCCTTCCAGACGAATCGCTCTCACAGCACGAGTTGGTTTCGAGGGTGCCGGAGTGGATGCCGACGCAGATCGCTGACGAAATTTGCTCGATCCCATTGCACTCGGATACTGTCTTCCCTCCATGCGTTGATATGTTCGCAGAGTTTCTTCCATATCATCGGCGTCTCCAAGGCGTAACAACGTCAACTGCTTAGCCAGATCGCGATCATCCAGTGTACCAATGAAATGTTCCACATGTTCTCGGCGAATTGAGGGCGATCCTTCCCGAATGGGGATTTTTGCTCGGATCGCGGCCACATTCAGTCGATACAAATATTCCAATGGAGTTTCATCAGATCGCTTCTTCGCATGGTAGTATTGTCTCCCGACCGACATACCATATCCACAATACTGGATCATGAAGGTTTCCAGCAACGACTTCCATGAATTCCGGGTGGATCGACTTAACTGGCTATACCAATTTCGTGCCGGCCCCGTAAGTAAATCACCAAATACTAGACATTTTTCATCATCCGGGGCTTGGTCGCGTAAGAACGCCGACTTGGCCTTGTTGACCCAACTTCTCGCTCGATCTTCATCCTTGTCCCGTCCTGTAAATTCTTTCAGATCTGCGATCGCAGACATTCGAATCCGCTGCGTGACAAGTCCACCATTAGGTACAGCGCCTGCACTTGCGACTTGTGGCCGTCTTAGATCCTCCAGACCCAAATCGTCTGGATCGTAATTATTGGATCGCGATTGACGCGATCCGGCCGATTCCATATCCACATCCGAAATGCAAACTTTTGGGGTGTTTGTAGGGATCGCGGATCGACTGGCGATCATGCGAGCTTGATCCTGCTCGTACTTTCTCATGGCAGCTTCAAAATAAGATTGCAATTGACCTGATCCATTCACGTTCATGTCTTCAGCTGTGAGTGCCGTCGTCGATTGTTCTCTGGCCTTAATCGGTGCCAGTCGCTCGCGAATATGCGCTGCACCAGCCGGTCCAAGTGACATTCGCTGCATATTAATCGAGTCGTCCGACTCCCCTTCGGATTCCGCTGACATATATTGCGAAGATCCCGTATGATATCCTTTTGGTATATCTGCAATCGGCTGGATCGTCTGATCCACCGGATCGCGCTCTCCAATTAGAGGAACTAGCTTCGAAAACAGAGATCGCCCTGCTTGGATCACCCGATCATGATCGCATTCCAACAGCACCTGCGCGTCAAAAGCTCCAGCGGTGAATCCAGCGTTCTGGAGCAACTCCATAAGCCGACGGATCGCTTCCAACTGGTTCGGTGTCGGAATGGGAGCTGAAATTGGTCCTCGTAGCGATCCAATCAACTTCGGTTTCAAAATCTTTAGAACGGGATCGCTTGACAACAGATCTTTAAGCGCCTTCCAATGAAAACACCATTCCAGCTGATCCAGTTGCCATCCTTTCGCCTTGTCTTCCTCATGCGCTGGCTTCACGTCGATATCATCATGATCCGACTCAGGCGCCTTCATCTTCACTCGAGATGGCTTCGAATTCTTCTTCTTCTTCGAATTCGGAGTGGTTTTGGATAAATTTCCTTCGGTTTTAACCGTAGGATTTTTATCCAGCGGATCGCGTTTTGCAACGCGATCCGCAGGGGTCCTCGAAAGGACCTGGGAAGGGGGTAGAGGTTTTTCTTCCAGATCAATCTCTTGATCTTCCTCCTTGGTTTTCTTTTCATCTGCGCCCCTCCCAAAACGCTGATGATCCGGGGATCTTTTTTCTTCACACGTCTGCGGTGATCCCTTTGCCGCTGACGCTTCAATCCCAGGTTCAGTCTTGACCTTTACATCTTCTCTAAGGGACTCACGGTGAAATCCCGAGTCACCAGAAGATCCGGGCACGCGCACCATTGTGGTGGAGTGGGATTCGCAAAATTGCTGATGCGATCCCAACTCTCCACTGGCGCCCGGACGACCGACTAACGGAGGGGGTACCCCGATTCCGTGTGTATAGCCTTCCTCACCTTGTGTACCCGTCGGTAGGGCGGGTTGCTCTCTTCTCGGTAGACTTGAGTCGATGTTGAACTTGATTGTGTTAGGGATAGGTGGGGGGGCGATCGCGTGGAATTCCTCACACGATCGCAGTTGTTCTTGGGGTGCTCTGTTTGAGTCGCCCTGATCTCCCTTGAGATCGCCTTGTCCAAAAATGTAGATACTTGATCCGCTTGCCTTCTGACCACTTGAGCCGTCTCGCGATCTTGTATCTGGACTTCTTAGTCCTCTGCGTCCAATCGCAGCTTGATTTGTTTTGTTGAGAATTCTTGCAATCCCTGGCCAAACAATCCAGGGATATGACTTGCGTAGTAGGTAGACTTCCTTGAGACGTCGGGAGGCCAAAGAATCCAGCCCGGAAGAGAAGTCGACACGTGTACTTAGAAGCAAATTGAACTCTGTTAATGTTAACCAATCAAATACCAAAACCTATGATCTTGACTATCTGTAGCTCAGGATCTGTTGCCACGTATCGCCCTTTCGGAAAAATCAGATCTTGTAATGTGGTCCACTCCAATATCGCCGCGATCTGGATCGCTACCTCACTCGGATATAATACCATTTTAGTACCAGATCGCGGTACTAAATAATTAGTACCAGATCGCGGTACTAAATAATTAATACCAGATCGCGGTACTAAATAATTAATATCGGATCGCGATCCGCCGGATCACGACTTGTCTTCTTCACCGTTTCTCAGGTCATGTGAGATAGTTCATCAATGTGACATTTCATATCCACCATTCCAGTCCTCCATAGCGACGTGATCCACACCAGACCGTCCTCCACATGCTTGGATGTACCCATCTTCCTCCTTAGCGACCGCGTTCACGCGGATCGCCATCGGAAATACTGGAGATCGCAATAGCGTAGTTTCTAGGCCATATTTGACCCCACATAGAAGTGCAAACTACTCCATTCACTGTTTTCCATCCTATTTGACATCGTCTTGAAACCTTTCTGCGAGATCGCGACTCATCAATATTGGCCACGAGATCGCGACTCATTAATATTGGCCATTTCGGACTTAACCGAAAATATGCGATCACACTTGGCGAAATTCACTCTTTCACTTCGCCACAACATTCTGTGGAAACGTCAGTCTAGTGAGGGAGAGTGTAACGGATTCACACGACGGTTGGATATATATTTAACATTACGTCACGGTGGTAAACCATACGTATTATATACATTGTGTTTCTTATACTTTCCTTTGAGGAGGTGCTAAGGGTGGCGTTAAGGTACGATATCGGTACCGTATCATATCGGCTATAGCTTGATTATTGATATCGCCGTACTAAGTACATCATACATAGATGTTTGAATGACACATCTTCCAGTAAAGAAGCTGGCACATTATAATTACTGTTATGGTTACTATAATCGTGATTAGTTTAGTGTACTTTACTTAGGATAAGTTTGTCCCCAATTTTTCTAATGCATAATAAAATCGGATTTCATTATAAGTTATAGAGCACACAAAAAGCCGTTTATAAGGCTTTTTTCTTGTAAACTTTGTGCATTTGGTTCATACAAGCATAAGCTTCTACCTTAGCTCTTGCACTCTGTGCGTGGGCTCTCTGAACCTTTAAGCTTCTTGCTTGTTGACTAGTAATCCATCCTAAATTCCTTAAAATGGGTAAGCTTTGTAGTCGTTTACTAGTTCTCTAGAACTTAGAGGCTTTAGCCTACAAGTCTTTCATTTACTTAAAAGCTACGTAGCTCCACTACATTAGGTGACACCTAATTGTACGCTAACTTACAAAAGTGCGTCATAGGGGCCCCCGACATACCTGTCCTAGGCTGCATCGTGAGAAGACACAATATACAAGCAGACCCAACGAAGGTAAAGGCTGTAAAGGAATGACCAGTCCTACGTTGCATTCGGCGTAAAAGCAGGTCGCCAATAACTTGAAAACGTCGGGTGTTGATTTCTTGGCTCTCAGCCGTTCTCTAATCTATCCAGGGCCGGATGTCGGCTTCATTGCGTCTACGAATGCGGCAGGATCATGCTCAACCCTCTGTTTGTCGTCCTCTTGAGGGCCCGTGCCCCTTCATGTGTCTCTTCGTTACAATTTCGCTTTGTCCAGCTGAGAATAAACAAGGTAACTTGGTGGTGATGCGGAATGACTCGGCATGTGCACCAACACCCACTAGGCTGACAGCAACAGCTACAAATATCGTGTCGAAGAAAATGCACATGGTTGTACTGGCAGCTGCACTTACGCTTGCGGCTCGGGGGGGGGGGTAATTTGAAAAATGCCAGCTAAATAGCGTTAAAATACAATTGTTATTCCTGTATACACTTTTATGAAATATTATGAATGAATAAAGAAATAAGAAATAAGAAATAAGATTACGAGCTGACTTGAATCATCCGTCAGTGTTCACTTTTCATCCAATCAGATTTCATTCCTTGATTTTCCAAGCTATGACGTTATATGTATGGGGACATAACAAGTCGCAGCAGCTTGGATTGGATGTAGTTGACAACGAATTACTCGAGATAACGGAGATAAAATCTCTACGTAATGAAGTAATTGTGGACATTTCAGCTGGTGCAAGTCATTCTCTCGCCCTCAACGAATTTGGTCACGTCTTTGCATGGGGTCGCGGTCGGGAGGGTCAATTAGGGCTGGGCGACGTGGCCACCGATCTCTCGAAACCCCGTCGTATCGGTGGTACGTTGGCTACTGAGTTAGTAACTAAGATCTCATGTGGTGAGTCACACTCGTTAGCGGTTACAGTCTCGGGTGACCTGTTTATGTGGGGTCTCTTACCAGTAGCCAAAGTGTTGCATGACGAAGACGACGTGTCGGATCGAGCTACGATCGAGTTAACAGGTCTTTCGAGTGACGAAATGCAACGCAATACGTCCAGAAACGAGACACGTCATCATGTGGACGACAGTATCATGGCCCGACTTGTGCGGGACATAATGCGTGTATATGAAGATGTTGATGGAGAAAATGTCAAGGTGCAGACAATTCGAGCGCCTTGTATGACGCCGCAACTGTGTACGGGACCATTGGCCAAACTTTTCGTGACGACCATTGCAGCGGGGTTTGCACATTCGTTGGCGACAACGAATACAGGTGCAGTTTTTAGTTGTGGCTACAATGACAATGGCCAACTTGGCCTTGGATCGAGACGCAATTCGGCTGCATTCCAGCACATTCAGGCACTAGATGGATACTTTATTGATCATATTGCTTGTGGCCAGCAGCATTCGCTCGCTTGCTCGAGACTTTTGGATTCAGTAGAAATAAAAGAGGATTCAGACGCCAATACCAAATTGCAATCGGGAGTGTGCTTCTCGTGGGGACTTGGTGTGCTTGGCCAATTGGGTACGGGACTTGACATTTCCTGGACTCCACAGGAAGTCAAATTGGCACGTCCTGCCATCTCGGTAGCTGCTGGTAGTCACCACAGTGTTGCAGTCACAGACGATGGCAAAGTGTACACGTGGGGCCACAGTGAGTACGGCCAGCACGGTGCTGGTGAGACTTTTTACGACTTGCAGCATAATGCCCATTATTTTTTCCCTCGAGTGCAGCAGGCGCTTGCCGATGACCCTTCCATTAAGGTAGCTAGCGCATGCTGCAGCTCGCACTCGACGTTCGCTTTGACATGTGATGGGTCAGTGATGTCGTGGGGCTGGAACGCTTTTGGTATCCTGGGCAATGGCAAGTACCAGTACTCCGCGCACCCTCAGCGTGTCTTTGGGCTCAAAGATAATGTTGCTGTTGCAGTCGGTGCAGGATCAAACCACTGCGCCGTGGCAGTTCGACCACGCGGAGCGCATTACTCGTTGAGCTACGATCGTGTGCTAGCGAACGCTGATTTTGCTGACCTGGCGTTCAGTGTGGGGGGACCAACGAAAGTAGAGCGCATCAAAGCTCATCGGGTCGTTGTAAGCGCGCGGAGCAGCTACCTCAAAGGTCTTCTGCGCGTGCTTGATAGCACTGCCAAGAGCACTCAAGGATTTGGAGCTAATGATAATAGTAGCGTGAAAACGGAAGAAAACGGATTGTTTGTGGTCAACGAGTTCGAGGATATCGATGCTTTGGTGTTTCGTGCGTTCTTGACGTTCTTGTATACAAATCGTCTCGATGTCGCCAGCCACAAACGGAAGGCGCTTGGTCAGTTTGCGAGCAGCGTATGCTGCGATGCACTCGTCGTTCAATGTCTCGATACCTGGCGCAAAGAACGGTTGACATCGCTGCTACCTTCTTTCTTTCGGCGTACAGGACAACATTTTACAGGAGCACAACCAGCTAGCTCCGAGGCGGAACAATTTGGGGAGGATATGCAAAGCATGGTGCTTTCCGAGGAAGTAGCAGACGTTGTGTTTCTGTGGCCTGTAGAGAATGAACCCGACATGGAAACATATGAGCGTCTGCCAGCACACAAGGCTGTGCTTTCGCAGGTGGAATACTTCCGCACAATGTTCATGGGTGGTTTTAGTGAAGGCAACACGGCGCAAGCAATCACACTTGGAAAACCGAAAGGGTCGGTGCATGAAATTCCGCTTCATTATATGCACCGGGATGGCGTGTCGCTTGAGGCTTTCAAAGGTTTATTGCTGTGGATTTACACGGGTTGTTTCGAGTTATTGAGTGCTAGACTCGAGCCTAGTGATATGATGGTCTTGTACGTTGGAGCTAGTCTACTGGGTCTCTCAGTGCTGGCAAGTAGGTGCGAGTTGCAGCTCGTGGGGTTACTTCCACAGCTGGATGTCGACTCGCTGCGGGCGTGCGAGGATTTCGCAGAGCGCTACGATGCCCGGAGACTGAAGACCATGAGCCATCAGGTACTGCAGAAGCAGCAGTCGGCTCATTGCTAGATCCCCTGCTGATGATCTCGATGTCCCTTCAGCTTTCTTCGGTTTGACGATCCATGAAATCGAACCAGCTCAATGTGAAAGCTCGTTTGGTAAGTAGAATAAGTTGTTCTTAGTTATGTTGGCTGTGCAGTGTGCAGTTAAATGATGGTATTCCAGCAAAACTGTGAAGGCCGACGACGCAACACCTGGACCCTACTTGGGTGTAGTTCATTTACTCATGGTCTTCAACAGGCCATCCGTGCATGAACTGAGTCGCATCTGACAGAAAGTTATTGTCTTGGAGCTGAAGTCGCTACGGTGGCTCATCTGTCTGTAACAGACTAGCAAAGGTTGAATCATTATTTGTCAAACATACGCCCTTGTCAATGTGACTCGGTGCTCAGCTGTTGTTGCTTCACATCCTTACATTAGCAACAGATGACGCTTCAACATGCAGAAAACAAAACAAATGACCATGTCGACCCAATGAAAACGAAATTTGCTGTGTTCTATTTCGAACCAATGGTACAATATAGTCGGTCTATAGTCGGTCCATGATTTCTGTGGTGGAAGAAGGGGATATCGTAACAATTAGCGTCACGTACTGTGCCTATCCGAATGCAAAAGCTAAAGTATGGATAAGCTCAAGAGTCAGCAGCAGGAGGGGCTAATTTTAATGGACTATATAATAAACTTAAGAATAAAAGAGTCGCATCAAATCTCAACGACGGATTGAAGTGGTCCTAGAGCTTTAGGTTAAGTATCCAGTGGCACTGTATATCGTGCAACAATTCCTAATGTGTGACACCTCTGGTCATTTCGGACGCCAAAAAAAATACTAACCGGATATTTCATTGTTGTGGCAGCGTTAAATCGTTGAGATCGTAGGTTTCTTTATGTCAAGGAGTTTGTCATACTACATAATTTATATGTGCTTTCAAGTATTGGATCTTACAGGTTCAAGGAAGTACTTAAGTTACTTCACCATACATTTGCATGCAAACTTTGTTCAACATGGTTTATCAATGTATGTGTCATCCATCCCTCTCTATATTGTTTCGATATTTCTACCATCAAAAAGTCCTTCCTGTCTGATAGGACATGTAGACAGCACAGTTCATTGTGCTTTATTCCGACGACAAGGTCTCCGTTGTTCCTTCACGGTCCTTCATTCAGGTCCTCCGTACCTCAATAGTCAAGAGACTATTTGAAAGTTTCCAAATGCGACTCCAATCTGCAGCTGAAGCAACTGTAGAGACCTTACTACAGGATAATGCCAATTGTGTAGCACATGTACTACAGAGTAATTATTTCAGTCGTACAGCGTCTCCTTCAATCTCTACTAGTTGGGAACGTGCTGCATCTCGACCACCAATTAATGTCAGTCCTTATGTTCATACACGTGACTGTGGAGGTCGTCGTCGATCAACGGCTGCGAGTTGTCAAGCAGTTATTGGTACTTTACAAGACGCCATGCGAGCGTTACACGCCGATGATACAAGCAGTTATCGACATGTCGAGAGTGAACTTTTTGGAGCAGATTTGTTATTGGATGCTTGTGTTCTTGATTCTTTCGTTCCACGAACAAAAGAGACCCCATATCGCTACGTGGGACTCAAACATGTCAAGTATCAGTCTATGCTCGATGAACGACACGCTGAAGAGTTTTTACTTATGGAGACTGTTGGAAGAGGGGTGCATCCGGTATCGAGCAGCAACTTTGTTTTTAAAATGTTGCGGTCCGTGGATGTCCCGGAAAAGGAATTTGAAATGAGAAACGCCAATAGTCACCATGCTCAGTTACAGGTACATCGTGGTGCCATCCGCGCCATGCTCTTGGTACTGGCTGAGACCAGTCATCGAGGGATCCTCAAGATGCAACTGTGGCTGGATGTCGAGCTGACCAAGTGTGCCGAACCTTTTTACGGCGCGTTTTCGAGTTTGCACGACGCCTACAGCTTGTCGATCCGATATCGACAGCTGGTCGAGAACTACGCTGTGAAGAGTGGAGATAGTGTCGTCACGTCGTCCAATAAGACGTCTCGGCTCGGCCCCATCGCGTCGCGGTCCAACCGTGAACGCAAGTGTCAAACTTGTCAGCGATCTCTCGGGTTCTTCGCCAGGAAGAAAAACCACTTGTGTAATGTGTGTGGTATTTTCGTGTGTTCTTCGTGTTTGTCTACGACGTCGTTCCAAAGCTGGAAGCTGTGTGGTCTTTGTTATCAGCGTAACAAGTGTCTTGTGAACCGAACTCGAGTGTCCAAGATGGCTTCGATCGCATCAGGTATCGGAGACACCTTCCAATACATCACTCGGATCGGACGTAGCTACAGCAGACAGCGTGAATCGATTTTGTTTGCCACGGCAGAAGCTGCTGGTGAACTGCCGCTGGACCCGATGCAGGACACCAAGCAGCGGCCTAATGAATGCTATTCCCGAGAAACAGCCAGGCGACGTCGCATCGATGATGAGATTCTATTTGACTACGACACCAAACCTCTGGCTAGTAGTGTCGTTGGCGTTCGTCGCGCTGTGCATGGCAATGCAAACATGGATCCGCGTCCGCAGACTGTGGACGTCGGCAGATCACAGCCAGTTCAAAAAGACCTGAGCACGAGCCAGGGCCCTGGCGGACGGATTAAAAGCTTGAAGCAATCGCTACTCCAGAAGGCCGGCAAGGGATCTTACGACCCTCACGAAGACATGAGCAGAGAGCTCAGTGCCTCGTTGTTTGACGGTACGAGCGGCTCATTTCGAACAAGTGAGCTGGGTAGTAGCCACGTCCAGATCAGCAGGAGTAGTAGCATTTCCGAACCGACTTTTGAGTCTGTGGTGTCTTCGGACAACAAGGTGAAGAGCCAAAGTATTAGTAGTAACAGTACCACGAGCTCTGCTAGCGGGGAGCGCCAGGACAGTCCGACTCCCGAGCCTGACATACAGCGGGTTGGCCCGCAACGCGTTCCTGCTCCTACTGCAACTCCGTCAAAGCTGGTTGAGCAGTCTCACCAAAGTAACTACCCTCCCCGCCGCACCAACCCAATGCACCTCGTGCACAGCGGCAACGGTCGATCACGTGTTAGCGACTCTTCTCGCAGTAGCAGCTCTTCATTTTCTCGTCGCAGTTCTTCTTCATCATCTTCTCGGCGTACGTTCCAGGGGTGGGCTACAGCATCTGCCGGTCCGCGTTTGACGTCTTTGAAGAATACTAGAAAAGGGAAGTATGCGGACGAGCACGACAACCATGTACCGTCCGCTTGGCGCGCGACGACCGGTTCTCCCATTAAAAAAGGCCGCAAGACGTCAAACCTGGCCGTCTTTGATCATCAGCCGCAGGATGGCCGTCTAAGCGCCTAGTTGATTGACTAGAACGAGGAATGTTCGAATGGAAGACACCCTTTTCGACGCGTGCTATGCTTTTGAAGGGAGTCATGGGGAAAACTCTCGACCAAATGCACGCATCTGCTATTTAACGTGACCTCACCGTCGAATGTCACTGGTATTCTCCCTCTCAATGTTTGCGCTTTGCCGTAAGATAAACAATAAATTTGCTTGACGTCGTTTAGTCTTTGCTTCATCGAAGAGAGATATACGAGAAGTACAGCCATAGTCTCTAAACGACAGACCTGCTCGTCTTTTTGCTGACAAACGGATGGACTCATCATGAAGTATTTATTGTAACTTCTAAGGCTGGAAGCACATTACATTCACTGATTGAAGAGGTACTGTACGATTTGAATGTCAAGGACTTGACTCTTTAAAGTTTGTTGAACGACCTCGTCATAATTTAAAGCTTGTCAAAGACTGTGATATACCGACAACCAAAGGGTAGCAAGTCCTTGAGCTTAAGCGGAATGCAGCAGTAAAACGACCGGTTCTTTTCTAGTAAGCGCCGGACGCACTTACATGCACTTTAAGTGCAATAGATACAGTAGCCTTAGAAGATAAGCCCCGCAACATTGTATCCTTCACAAGTCGGTTCCTAGGATCGATTTTTACTACATAAAAGCGCTTGGATATCCCATTCTGGTGACGCAGGTTGTGCGCACATTACCCGGTGAGGCCAGCATGTACATGTGTTAGCTACTTCTGCGTCTTTTAACAAAAAAATATTAAGCTTATAAAAAATCTCATAGTAGTAATTAACCTGGTCAATTTGACAGGTGACATTAAATATATTGACCAAGTAACAAATGGATTAATGAAATTAGTAGTAACGCGTTACTCGGCACGGCTGGTTATCAAGAATCTTGCGTCATATGTTGGTACTAATCATCTTTCTTAATGTAACCTTTTTTTGTGCTTCGCGCAACTCAGGACATCCTAATACTTGTTATGCTTCATCACAGGGGGTGTCGTCACTCGATCTTCTGCAAGTCAATTTTGAGCCTGTTTCTGGCAATGCTGCAACTTTGATTTGTCGCTTCTTTGAATTCCCGAGAGGCAGGTGATATCCCATCAAATCATCCAATATTCAACAGTAGCATCTCTAGGCAAACTGTCTCGTGTCAAGCCGTGCAAGTTCAGTCGTGCATTTCTATACAGTACATTGATTAAACAAAAGCAGACCCAAACGAAACGACTTGAGTTTTTTTCTTATTTGTTTTTTGACACTACACAATAAGCAGATTCTCTAATGCTGATGGAACATCACCACACTCAAGGACGATCTAGCTGGACGTCCTCATTGTATTCAAATGCTACAGACACGTCCAGCATCGCTTTACCATTTGATGGACTACATTTATTCGCCTATTCGAACAATGAGTAGAAACTCAATCACCACAAAACCAGGACAACAATTGTCATTATCGATCCAACGAGGCTGTATATCATCCAACGCTTCCTCCTCCTTCACACGACGATATGACGTCGAGTTTGCTCCGACCGATGGTCGAAGGATCCTCGAATTTTAAGACAAGTGACAAGCCTTTATCAGAGTCTGCAATTGTCATACACGTCAAGCGAGTGACAGACGAGAAACGACGAGCAAAACATCGAGAAGCTCAGCGGCGGTTTGTGAATCGGAAGAAGGTACAGCTCCTTCTCTTTTTTGTGGAAGCTAATGGTTGTTTGATGCTGATCTAAGATTGTTGGATCATGATTCAGATCAAAATGACGCAATTGAAGCAATTGGTGGTCGAGCTGGAAAAACGACACTTGTTACTGCAGGCAGTCAGCGAACAGGAGATGTTGGTACGAGACAATTGCGCTTTAATAATGCAGATAAATTTGCAGAAGAAGAACAACCACGTGGTACGTTTCTTTTGGTTCTTGATTGTGTCAAGTGAAAGAGCTAATATTTATGCTTTTTAATGGTGTCGTTTAGGACGAAGACAAGATAAAGGAGGAACATGGAAGTGGGTGGAAGGTGCAGACATTTGAGTGGTGAAGTTGATTTCTACGCCAGCTAAAGAACACCGTAAATAGTGATTGGCAACCCCTCATGCAGTAACGGGTTTACCTGTCGTGAGTCTGTTCCCTCATCGATGCGCACGATGACCTTTTTTCGAGCGACACTTGTAAAAGAACGCATGATATCGCATATAAATGTAACAATGCAGTCATCAACCTTATGCATACACAGACGTCTTGTTTGTCATAGTGGCATAACTACGTCAAAATTTTCTTCTCATGAAGTATGAAACGTTAGTTACCACATCCTCACCCGTCCCGACTTCCTACCTTCTTCTCTCGACTGGCATTCAGGAGCTCCACCAAGCAAAGCCTACGTGCTACATGCTTACGGATCCATCGACTCACGTGAAAACATCTCCTTAGCGATGATCATGCGTTGAATCTGCGACGTGCCTTCGTAGATCTGGTAGATCTTGGCATCACGGAAAAGCTTCTCGACCGGATACTCCGTATTGAACCCAGCGCCACCAAAGATCTGAATAGCGTCCGTCGCTACCTTGTTAGCATGGTCACCAGCAAAGCGCTTAGCCATCGAAGCATACATTGTGTTCTTGCGGCCACAGTCTATCTCGTATGCGGCCTTGTACGTAAGCAGACGGCTTGCCTCAATGCCCGTAGCCATGTCAGCCAACATAAACTGGATAGCCTGGTGCATTGCAATAGGTGTACCCATAGTCTTCCGTTCCAAAGCGTACTTCCGAGCTTCATCAAAAGCTCGACGTGCTAATCCAACGGCACCGATAGCCACAGGCGGCCGTGTGATGTCAAAAGCCTGCATCGCAATTTTAAACCCATAGCCAGGGTCCCCCAGTACATTTTCTTCTGGTACTACCACGTCTTCAAAGGTAATACCGCGAGTATCCGAGCAACGTTGTCCAATATTGATCTCCTTACGACCGACAGTAATCCCTGGACTGTCTGCATCAACGATAAATCCTGTAAAAGCCGAGCCAGCATTCGCTTTCGAGTCAGTCTTGGCCAAGACAAAGAACCATTTGGCTACACCACCATTCGTAATCCACATCTTGGAACCATTAAGAACCCACTTATCTCCCTTTTTTACAGCTGTTGTCTTTGCAGCAGCGACATCAGAGCCAGCACCTGGTTCCGTAACACAATAAGCAGCTTGCACTGGCTCGTCAACAAGACGACCAAGATATTTCTTGTTCTGCTCGTCCGTAGCAGCTACTAATAGTGGCGCTGTTGCTAGTCCATTAGCTTCCATTGCTGTAGCCATCCCAGTACAGCCATAAGCTAGTTCTTCACCAATAATACAGCCATCTAATGACCCGAGTCCGAGGCCTCCAAACTTCTCAGGAACGTGCGTATTCACAAGTCCAAGCTCCCATGCCTTTGTAAAGATCTCATGGGGATATTCCATACTTTGATCGTAATGTTTTTCCTTTGGGATCATTTCATCACGTGCAAATTTACGTGCAAGTTGTTGAAACTCACGCTGATCGTCTGATAGTTTTAATGAAAAGGAAGAAAAGGTCGAGTCGTCTATATGTTGCGCTAGTGCGAAGCAACGTGCGCCTAATGGACGTAAATGTGGAAGTTTAAGTGACAACATGAGTGCGGAAAAAAACAAGAGTGATGGTCTTTGGGTGCGCAACTAGTCGCCAGTTTTGAAATGACTGCTTCCTTGTAAGATACACAGCCAGTTTTATGTACCCTACGTAATTAAAAAGAGCCGATTTATGTACCCTACGTCATTTTGAAAAACCGACGTGAGAAACGAGATGTAATCTTGAAATAACATTTATAGACGTATTAGCTTCAACTTGTCAAGCGGATATAAAATTATAAGATGCAAATTGTTTTGGGTTATTCTAGGCAGCACAAATTGATTTGGGCATTTTTCATCTCGCTACTTCTATTTGACACTTCAACATGTCAGTAGTTCGCTGCATGATGTTTGCTTTATTGGTGCTCACGTTATCTTCTCTCTAGTAGCTACGACCCCAGAGCACCCAGCACTTCGCTGGCTTGCCACTGATAAAGCACTTGGTTTCAGCAGTAACAGGGCTCTCCTCATTCTTCGTGAACGGGATGCATAGCGTCTTGGCAGCAGCGCTTGTGGCCGTATTATCGGCCTCCTCTTCCAACCCCATAAGAGTCAGTGACTCCTCGCGAGACTTGGTCTTGACGATTTCCTCCCACTCAATCTCATTGCAAAACGGAGTCAACACCATGCAGCCATCCTGGAGAGCAGGCATGAAATCTTTCCAGTCTGTCACCTCACGTATCTGGCTGTCACGCTGAGCAGTAGCACGTTCGAGCATGTCCTGCTGGATCTGCTCAAGAAGAGCCGGGATACGAGAAGCCAGCTCGGTCTCAGGGACATCCTCCTTGGCCCCATTGTCACGACGTACAACGCGCACCTGCTTCTTTGCGATATCCTTCGGACCAACCTCAAAACGGAGTGGGACACCCTTAAGCTCCCAGTGGTTGTACTTCCAACCGGGAGTGTACACACGACGTTTGTCCGCCTCAATACGGATACCCGCGTCGGCCAGCTTGGCAACAATCTCGTCGGCCTTCGCGACGATCTCATCTATCTCGTCTCGGTCCTGGAACAGAATCGGCACCACAATGACCTGGGTGGGCGCTACACGTGGTGGCAGCACCAGTCCCTTGTCATCGCCGTGCACCATGATCATGACACCCAGCGAACGTGTGGTAAAGCCCCACGAGTTTTGCCACGGGATCAGCTTCTTGCCGTCCTCATACTCAGCTGCAATGCCAAACATCTTGCCGAAGTTCTGACCAAGCATGTGCGACGTAGCGGCCTGAATACCACGGCCAGTCGAGGGAATAAAGCCCTCAATCGTCGTGGTGTAGTCGGCACCAGCAAATTTCTCCTTCTCGGTCTTAATGCCCTTGACCATGGGCACAGCGAGCAGTTCCTCGTAACATGCCGCATAGAAGTCCAGCACAGCACGCACCTCCTCGTCGGCCTCCTCCTTGGTAGCATGTGCCGTGTGACCTTCTTGCCATAGAAACTCGCGCGTACGGATGAACGGCGTGGGATTCTTGAACTCCCAACGTACGACATTGTTCCATTGGTTGAGCTTCATAGGCAGGTCACGGTGGCTACGGATCCAGTTCTTGAAGGCCGGATACATGATAGTCTCGCTAGTAGGACGGATAGCAATGGGATCTTTCATCTCAGAGCTGCCGGATTTGGTGACCCAAGCCACTTCAGGTGCAAAACCCTCCAAGTGATCCTTCTCACGCTGGAGCTTTTCCTTGGTCACGAACATGGGAAAGTAGCAGTTCTTAACGCCAATAGCTTTGAGATGGCGGTCAAGAAACTGCTGCACACGTTCCCAGATCTCATACGAATAAGGGCGTAGAATGTAGCAGCCAGACACGTCGTAGTAGTCAATCATGCCTGACTTGGTAATTGCGTCCGTGTACCAGTCAGCAAAATTCTCCTTCTTAGTAACCGACATGCCTTCATTGGTCTTTTGCTCGACAACCTTCTTCTTGTCCTCTTTCTTCGCCTTTTCAGCTTTTCCAGCAGCAGGCACAGGAGCAGCTACTGCAGCAGACTCGTCCATTTGAGCAGCAAAGTCTATGACAATAGGCTCGTGGTTGTAATGTTTGACAAACTTCAGCAGATCCTCCGACTTGATACTATACGTCTGATCATTGCGTAATGGATGGCAATTGATCTGCGTTGTGTCCAGAAGTGCCTTGTCCAGTACAAGATGTACTTCATTCTTGGAATCGTGCATGACACAGAGAGGTGAGACTGACCCTTTTGTGACCTTAAGCGTCGTGTTCAGCACGTCCTCGGAGGCAAATCGAAGGTTCCATTTCTTACCACCAATACCAGCAGCATTAAGTTGTGTACCGAGTTTTTTTGTGTCCACGACGGTACTCGATGCAGCTGACACAAGAAATAGCCCCTCCTTTTTATCTTTAAACACGAGATTCTTGGTCGATAGGCCCGGTAAATGCGACAGAACTTCAATCACATCTTCCGTTGTAGGTATTTCACGATGTTCATGTTTTTCGTATGCAATGGAAAGTGCATCGAGAGCTGCAGAGACCTCAATGTCGGCCATCGATTTGTCCAGACTTGTCATGACTTACTCAAGTGATTTTAATGCAAATGCAGCCAATCGTCTTGGTGTCCGTGAAAGAAGAGGGACGTGTACGTGTCAACTACTTAGAGTAAGTAATACGAAAGGATTCAAGAGGTCAATTCAAACAGGACAGCTGGCATGTTTGTGGTACACGCTAAGTACCCGACGTAATTACAGCCCTTTTCAAATCCCTGATCTCTTTACAATCCTCTGGCTCATTTTTTTCGTACTGTATTAAAGTGACGGTAGAATAGGCATTTTCATCACCTTGTAATAGAACTAGACCGTACGAATCTATTTGCTGTAGTAAAGACTAATTGACCCCAGTCTCTTTAAAGGGGTCGGATGTTCAGTCAATTAATGACACGTAGCAGCAGGTTAAATCGAACAAATGTTTGTCATATCTCGTCGTGATAGTATGTGATAAGCTTAAGTAATATAGGAGCTCCTATCCGGTACAACTCACTTGCTATTGACATCAATTGCTTTCGTTCATACATTTACAAAGACAATTCGTTTCCTCGCATCTACCATCCAATATAAAATCTCGGTGGCTGCTTGTCGAGAAGGTGACAGTAACAGCTTGTGTCAACTATTACCGCAGCATGTGGAGCCGCTACAATCTGGTAGGTATCAGCTGGTAATGCAGGAAGAAAATATTACGTGATGGGACTGCTAACCTGTATGGAACCAAGGGGGAGAGTCACAGCCAGTTCATTCGTTTGAGATTGTGCCAAGGAATTATCCCTTTGACTTGTCAGAATCATGAAGCTCCTGCTTGCAGCATTCGTAGTGATTGCAGCTCTGTCTTCGGTCGTAAATGCGCTAGACCGATACAATCTGCTGGAAATAATGGCCACCGTGCACAGCGATCATCGAATCAACACCAAGTATGATGACGTGGCACTCGAAAGAAAAGAGCGCCATTGCAAGAGTCATTACATGCAAGATGGCAGTGACAGTGGCGATGAGGTGTGCGGCTCAAATGGGAAAAAGTACAAGAACCTTAACGAGTTTAACCTCCACAAGTGCCTGATAAAGGTTCAGGAGGGCACAGTGATGACAGTTATGGACATGGAGTTCGGCAAGAATAGTGAAAGTGAAGACATGGAGCATGTCAAGGAAGAAAATAACTCGTCCAATCCTATACAAAGTTAGGTAATTGACCGATTCCATGACGAGTGGTGAGCAGAGACCGTTTGACGGAGTGAAGTGAGACCATCACGTTGTCCATCCCAACTTTGTCTTCCCGATAGACGATGCAGCTCTTTTTAGACGGTGGTCATCAGCACATTGTGAGGCGATAGCTCTAGCGTAGCTACTAGTCCGTAGATGATTATACAGCAACATGAAAAGAATGAGTGTTTGTATCCATTCGTTCTGACCTTGGTCTTCTTGAAAAGCTTCTTGAACTGTGAGGTAGAGAAGTAGCATTTTCGTATGTATTGTAGAGCAGGTTCGTAGGAATTCCGCTGTTTACAGCTGCTGTAGTGTCGCGTCGTTGCAGTACACACAGATCTGCAAGGAGCACGATAGGACTGCTGGATAGAGCTATATTCTATCTCGACACGTGGCACAAGAACAATTGAATCAAGATGAAGACGAATGGTATCATGATGGTAGCGGTGTGGCTGGTAGTTGTTTGTTCAGTTCATGGGGATGAATCAACTCCGGAAGAGAAGAAACTGCGCGTAGTGAGTCAAGTGCACGCCAACCCAGCCGTTTTTGTGAGCGCTGAGGAAAACAGAGCAAAACGAAATGGACATTGCGTTGACACAGGTGCGATCAATCAAGACCCTGTATGTGCATCCAATGGCAAGCAGTACATGAACGAAGACGTGTTTGAGTTCCACAAGTGCCTCGTGCAAGCAAAATACGGCGAGATCATTGAAATCGTGGACATGGATGTTTGCAAGAATGCTCAGAAGGAAGATTATGCCAACGTCAACTACGTAAGTGTTGTGTCATTCAAGGCACTGAATACTCGCAATCGTCGCTCTAAGCCAGCCAGACCTCGGACCGGGCTGAAGTAGGTGGGTCTTAATGCAAATGAAATGACCACACCGTAAGCGTTATGTTGTTTGTACTGTTGGAAAAGTTCTCGCGGCGCTCTGCAGGATAAAAGTAGAAGGTGATGGTTTAAGCACACAACAACTTGTCGAGCTTACTACTCCAATTTCGCTCCTAGGTGGGAGGACATGTCATCTGCGAAGCGGATGGTCTTGATGGAGTCACATTTAGTACGACAGTGGGTTTATCGGTGCTGTGACCTTCGAGGCGGGCAGACGGCTAGAAATGAAAGCGTGATACATCTCCATGTCAGTGTCTAACAAAGACTACAACAAGGTGTTGTCGAGTTCTATCAGATGGGTACTCATTGTCACAAAAAGACAGAAAACGATGCGTGAGATCACAAGAGATTACGTTGTTTACCAAGTTTCGAGCCGGCATAATGCGCTTGTTCACTCCGGTCGACACAGATGATGCAAACACTCGATCCGTTGCGGAATGTCACGGGACTAGACAGCTTTAAGAAACAGTCGACGTTGCCACAGTAGTAGTTAGTGGTCGCATAAGGCCTGGGTAGTTCAGCTCGATCTGTTCAGCGCATTGGTTGACGTTGAAACACACGGAGCTGATTCGGGTGTCAAAAGCAGCCAAGACCTCGTCTTCCGTGTTCTCGAATTCAAGGAAGCCCAGGTGCTGGTCGATGCTGCCCTTCATACGGTCTTCTCCGATCATCGTAGCTGCAACGCGCTCAGCGTTGACAGGTTCGATCTCCAGGAGCTTACCCAACTCTTCGAGTGAGATGCTGCTGTACACTCGACTAGCGGCAAGTAGATTGTGCTCGAGGAAGGCATTTTCGAGCACCGTAAAGCCGTTTGACAGCACTGCCTTCTGGTGGGGTAGCAGACTTTTCTCAAATTGCACGAGCTCCGGGCAACGTATCAACTGCTCCATGTACATTTTTTCCAGGATTGCCACATGTTCGCTGCTTTTCACCCGTTCGTCCTTGTAGAGTGTGCCCAGAAGACGTGATCGCTGCGGGCCAGCGGAAGCCAAGATGGCGCAGGTAACAGCTTTGCTTAGTAATTCCACCAAATCGTCCGGGTCGACTTCATCAGGCTTAGACTGTGAGAACTCATAGTACCGCAGCGCCGCATCCAGAAACTTGCGTTTCGAGTCGAGAATTCGTGCGTACGAGACCTGGAAACGTAGTTTAAGTGCCCAATTCTCCACATTGTGTATGAAACGCGACGCACGATTGATAAAATTCTCGGCATCCACTGTCTCATCTTCTTGGAGATAAAGCTCGGCAATTTTTACGTACTTTTCAGCTTTTTCTACGTCCGTGTATTGACGTGTAGAGCTCTCAAGATTGATAGCAGCTAGAGCCTTGGCTGCTTCAATGTACTCTTCCTCATACATGTACATGGCTGCCAATGACTCCCGAAATAGGACATCAGGCTCCTCGAATGACAGGATACGAGGCTTGATCTTGGCCAAGCAAAAGCAGATAAACTCGAGTTTCCACGGATGTGCATCGACGTCGATGTCTGCGATTACAGAAGCCAAATGTGTGACCACCTAGCGTAAAAAAGACAGAGAGAGTAAGTGTGAGGTATATCTTAGATAGTAATAAGGTGATGGACGACGTACAGCACGTGATATGACCAAGAGCACATCTTCTTCCAGTACTAAGTGATAGAAAATTACATTAGCAATTTGTAGAATAGAATGTACTGAAATAACAATTATTTCGTACAATGTGTTACAATAATCTTGAGACTATTTACGTCATGTAACTGTTTTTCCAGCAAAGTCTAAAAATGACCAAAATTAGTCCATCCATTCGATATTAACTTATCTCAGTACAATTATATGCCTTGTACGCTGCAGTCTTTTTTTTCTGATCAGCAATATGTGAGATCTGTGATGTATATTTCAGCATAAAAACAGAATGAAAAGAATCACAAGACACTTAGCTACATGTCCATATAGCATTTGACAACAAATACTTTCATACAGAGCCACACGTACGTCTTGAAGCTCGGCGTCAATCATGATACTTTTGTAGCGTTATGATTTGTCTTGAGACGTCAAATTTGAACAATATTATAACCAATCAGCACACTGTAATTTATGTCCAAGGGTACAGTAAAATATGATATTTTACATCATGGCTACACTTGCTTCAACTTGAAGTTGCAGTGTAACATGGTCATAAGCTCCCTACACCAAGGCACTTTGTGCTATTCTGAGGTGTTGCAACATGTTCTTGAGCCAGTTGAAGACGAGATTATACGGAACAACGTCATGTGCAGGAAAAGCTCGTAAGATCATTATTGCATGCTCCTACTTCAGCTTAAAATCGCAGGAAGCCAACGCATCGCATGCATCTTCAGTCTTGCAGAGTTTGCGTCAGATCATTAGTTGTGTACAAAATAACCGCTGTCATTTGCTGTACCTCCTGCAAGGGAACAGAGATATCTCGAATCACAACATTGCGAGTCTTTGTTGTTGCAGCTTCAACTTCCCATTGGCTTGAATCACTTCTTTAAACGCAATTACATCTCACTCTCACGTAGCGTCTTTGCGTAAACAAGCAAGGCCTTGGTCGTCAAAAGCTGCTGTAGCAGTCATATCCCGAGCCAAATTCTGACGCTCGCGCTATTGCAGCATTTTCTCTCAGTTGTAATGCGATTTACACTCGTAGCTGCTCCGCCAACATCTCGTTGTACTTAACGATCGTGTCTGCTAGTATATCACGCCTGCCAGGTGTCTCCAGTGCCACCATCTCTTGTCAAGAACTACATCTTGTTCGTACCCTTCACTGCAGAAACGTGCTCGATCTGTTGGTCAAACGCTCGTTAAATATCTTGCACTTGAGCTTCCAGCTCTGTCAGTATAGCCTCCTTTGCAAAACGCGACTGCTGTTTATCAATCGCTGCCCTGTTGCCGTGCTCAGCAACTTTCAAACGGCAGTTGTTGACGCTCGTGTTGTAGTGCCTCGGTCATGTTCAGCCCAGGTTTGCAACTTAATAGTATCCTGCTTGTGGACCTCCTCTGAGTGGCCTCAGTCTTGTTCACGTCGTTTCATTGCATGCATTGAACCGAGACTTGACTTCCGTAAACGGCGCCACCTTCACGTACATCTTCATATGCAAGTCGGCATTGCAATAGCCAGACTTGTCTGACGTAGCAATGACGACAAACGGACACTAGAGACAAAAAGAAGGCTTGAAACTCGATAGCTATCGACGCACCATTCAGCCGCTTGCACCGATCATCTCACCTTCTCGTTCGGTTGTCGTTGTCCATTGCAACGTAAAATTTTCCAACCGTGGATTTTCAATGTCGCTGTCGAGAAAAAATGGCATACTACATGTTCGTAGTAATGACAGCTTCCTGGTCCTGTCTCTTCCGTGAATTGTAATGCGATGGCACGGATTCTTGTCACTAAAAGTGTCCGAGTGTCGTACGACGGCATTAAATTTACGAGTACCCAGGACATCTGTAACCCGACAACCGAGTGGACAATCACAACCGAAAGTCACGGCCATGTTCAAAATGCGTCGGCATCATACGTGTGGAACCCTTAGGTACAGTTCATGACGACATTCGTGCGTGTCGTCACGACGCTATACAGAGCCACTGCGACCTTTTTCAATAGAAACTAATAGTATCCGTACTTTGTAATGAAGAGTGTGCATCCTTACAGCGTTATCTAGTACCTCGACCTGCAACAAGAGGCAGCGCGACCAAAAGCCCGTATCGCAAGTGTACCGATAAAATACAGCACGTTACAAACCTTCATTACTATCAAATTGCAACTTTCTTGGGTGGACCTTGTCCGTATCAGCAAAAATATACACAGTAGTAGAGGGATTACAGTCTATCCTACTAACACCCGTTTAATATTCAGTCATTCCATGCGCTTGGTCTGTTGTCTGACCGTTATTTTTTTGGAAGCAAACGTGTACAGGACTATACAAAGAATACAAGGAACTCATCTAATGCTACCATATGCTAGACAACCCCAAGAGCCGTCACCGCAAGTGACAAGCCCGTACAATTACCAAGCCATTGACGTTGCTAACAAAGCTTAGAAACTACATATACAGTACCAGACATTCTGCAATTTCTAAAGGTTCAATCGACTCGTCTGTTTTTTTCTAACCCGTGTGATTTTCGCATATCAAATTGACAACATCTTTCTTTGCTCCTTAACTAGAAACTTTCTCGAACTTAACCTTATATCAAGTGAAAAATTGCAACTTCCGAGTCACCAGCTCATGATAAAATACCTTACCTCAGCCCATGATCAAATCTTACGCTTTGACTTGGACTGAATAGTTTTTCTCAGCCCCCAGAGACCCATTTTCCAAAATTGATCGAACTCACGACACTTTACAACAAGCAGTACAGGAACACCATAAACCATCGAAATTATCATGCAACTCATGAAAGGACTTTTTATCGCTGCCGTGATCTGCGTCGCGGGTGCGGTCAGTGCCAAGCAGCAAGAGACCGACAATCATCCGGACTCTACTCGCCCAGTCACAAATGGCTTCGGCATGCAGGTCGGTTTTGCGTCCAATGACGATCCTGACGAGGTTGACGAGGAGAACTCGGCTCAGAAGACAAATTATACTGTGTTTGTGGTGGGGGGAGTGGCCGGTTGCGTCTGCATTGGCATTATTGGAGCCGTGTACATGAAGCGAAGGAAGGATAAGGGTAAACTACAGGGCGACATTTTCACTATCGACGATAAGAATTCAGTGTTGTAAGCGTCTGTGGGGCTTCGATCGTCGTCTAGTGTCTTGCACATCAGGCCAATGTCTTATCATGTTGGTAGCAATATATTGACAATTTAAATTTCTCTGTGTGAACGAAACACAACTTGAGGTTGTTAGTGATGGTGTTTGTATCGATACGTTGAATTCTGCGGGATTTCTAGGGAGGAAGTTGACAAAGTTATACAATGATTTAATGGATAGTAACGAACGACGTTGGTACATGTAGAGTCAATAATAGGCCATTCTGAAACCTCGAGATGGGAAACAACATCTATGATATGTACTCGTCTTTACTGCACAACAGCATTGCCAACAATAACCACATGTGTCATTTACTTCACACGTGTATGACTAAGGAAATGTAGGTGAGCTTGAGCTCGGCAGTAAATGAGGCGATTGTAAACCTGGAACAAAACGACGGAGTGAATTAGCGAGAACGTTTCTCGGTCGTGGTCAATGACACACTCCAACTTGCTATTGATTCTTGTACTCAACTATTGCATTCTTACCATATTGTGCCCTTAATACTATGGTCGAGCACAAGTATCATCAACTAGCAAGGCTTGCAGGTTGACGCATGGGATGAAGGTGCATAGATTCCTTGCTTGGCCAAGCTTGGCTATAACATCTAAAGACATGCATTCGAACTAAAGCAGAGTTACATGGCGGTAAGGTCTCAAGCTCGTAGTCCGCGTTAAGAGGCGAGGAGATGAGAACATTGCCGGAAAGGTTGGCACATAAGCCGCAGGTGGTGGCCATGACATTGAAGTGTATGCTCTCTCGTGTGATTAAATGACCTCCAAATGCGCCGGGACCATGTCATTTCTGCGCCTGTGTCCGTTCGTCTCGCTGTGCGTGCAATCTCCCAAAGCGTTCAGTTGTAATGGCCTCTCTCTCTCTCTCTCTCTCTAAAGCATCCAACGCCTTGAACAAGACAGCAAGCGATCAAGAATTGTGACACCAATGCCGTGAGGATCTTTATACGCAAAGCAGTGCAATCCTTGCGTTTGCACTCGCCTACGAGCCATGATGGTCAATATTTGACACCCCAAGCCAATGCAGTTCAATCGGACCGACATTTCGCCAACGACTTTCCAAAATCGATTGCTGTCGTAAAGTGAGGGGCATTTGCGTCGAGCTCAGTATGCTGATGTTGTAAAGGTCCGACATTGTCGAGGTAACCTGCTGTTATAAGAGACTAGTCTAGTCGTGTTGTCGCGTAAGTCAACACTGTCACTGCACTAGTGACAAAATAGAGGCAGCTTGTGCCCAGCGTCGCAATCGGTCCCCTAGTGCACGCACCAAATTATCTCGATCGGAGTAAGGTAAGGCTAGTCTGACCGCAACGTACGATCACCCCCAAAGTGTGCAAGACAGTGGGTAGACTAGACTGTCCATGAAACTTTGGTCGTTGTCGTACAATCAGCAAGAAACAACAATGTGAAGATATTGGATGCCCTTTAAGAGACCACAAGAAGATGGTGGCGAAGCTAATGGTGTACAGTCAAGTATGTAAGTCAAAGCATCAAAGATGGAGTGAATGGTGCATGTACAAGAGGTACATATACCGGCTTCAGCATGGTGGCTGACGATGCTACGCGCAGTAAGACGAGTTGCCACGCAGTAAATTATATAGCAACGTGTTCAGAGGAGTAATTGACCTTAATCCTTTTGCTTCATCGTCGACCAATTTGTAGCCAAGTGACCTTTTCATAAGCACATGATTGTACACGGACGACATCTCTGCCGGTTGAGAGTCCAAACACGGCAGACAGTAGGAAGTCACGATCCTACAAGCGGAAAAGCGGACGAGGAATCCAGATGGTTCGATACCAGTCTCTCTTTTGTACGACAAAATTTAGAGAGCTCACGACAAGCGTACAGCCTGGTTGTCCATTGAAATTGCCAATCGTGTACGACTGTGTGGATATGAATTGATGCAGTAAATGTACCTGCGAATTACATCTACCCGATGCTAAAATTTAGACCCACGGATTATAGAATCAACACCCACGACGCCTTTAATACTAATATCCCGTATAAGAAGCAAGTAGTAAATAATCTGATCGTCGTCGCCCCTTCAAAGTTTATGAGCCGTAAAAAAAAATAGAGACGCCAGTCCCCAATCTTTCCCATCTCTCCTCGTCCTTATCAGCCACTCACAACATAGCGACGTTTTCTCATCATCGCCCACAAATTGTGTGTTCGCTCAGAGCAGCTGTCAGACTTTGGCATTCTCCAGCTGGTCGGTTAGCCAGACAAACAGCACGAAAACTGACTCTCTATAGAAGTCCCAGCTTAAGATGCCAAGAGTTGATCTTTCGGCTGTGCTGTAGAATGCGAGACCGCCAATCCCCTCGTACCGCTCTTTGGTTCACTCTTGAATTAGACCTCTGCTAGCAATACTACGTTTAGCAAAGACATCCATCCATCGACACACTACCGACTTGGACAGTTTGTTCTTCTTCTTTTTCTTCTTCTTTCTTTTTCTTCTTCTTGATCCTTTTTTTACAATAGAGAAAGCAAGAAGTAGGTGATGAAAGTCATGAAAAGTCTCGTCATTGCAGCCGTCTTGTGTGTGGCAAAGATCAATGCTATTGACTTTTCATCCGATGCGACCTATTCAGGTGAACAGACTACTTCCAATCCAATTCAAGACGATAATGCCGACACAAAATCCATTACCGAAGCACTTTCGACAGGTGAGAGCCCCATGAAAGATCCCACGGAAGTAACCTCTCCTGAAGCTGAGAAGATGGTCGAGCTGACCGAGACAAATGAGGAAGACTGCAATAATGAATACGACATGGCTAAGCCTGAAGACAAGCCGGATGACAAGTCTGATGACAAGACTGAAGACAAGACTGAAGACAAGCCGGATGACAAGTCGGATGACAAGACTGAAGACAAGACTGAAGACTGTGACGAGGGTCTGGACATTGCAAAGGAGAAAGAGGAGGATTGCAATGATGACTTGGACATTGCTAAGGAGGAAGATTGCGTTGAAGGCTTGGACATTGCCGGAAAGGACGATGGTAACACACCTACGGAAACTTCCGACGGTGGTGAGAGCGCAGGCGGTGAACCCAGCACTCACACGTACGAGGGTGTCGAAAGCAGCGAGGGGACTGACACGACCAACACCAAAGACGATGCTGCCTCGAACGACAGTAAGGAAGTTACTGAAACTGCCAGCGGCGGAGAGGCCGCAGGTGGTGAAAAGACCGCAGGTGATGGAAAGGCCGCAGATGGTGGAGAGACCGGAGACGGTGGAGAGGCCGCAGGTGGTGAATCCAGCACTCACACGTACGAGGGTGGCGAAAGCAGCGAGGGGACTGACACGACCAACACCAAAGACGGTGCTGCCTCGAACGACAGTAAGAAAGTTACTGAAACTGCCAGCGGTGGAGAGGCCGCAGGTGGTGAAAAGACCGCAGGTGATGGAAAGGCCGCAGATGGTGGAGAGACCGGAGACGGTGGAGAGGCCGCAGGTGGTGAATCCAGCACTCACACGTACGAGGGTGGCGAAAGCAGCGAGGGGACTGACACGACCAACACCAAAGACGGTGCTGCCTCGAACGACAGTAAGAAAGTTACTGAAACTGCCAGCGGTGGAGAGGCCGCAGGTGGTGAAAAGACCGCAGGTGATGGAAAGGCCGCAGATGGTGGAGAGGCCGGAGACGGTGGAGAGGCCGCAGGTGGTGAATCCAGCACTCACACGTACGAGGGTGGCGAAAGCAGCGAGGGGACTGACACGACCAACACCAAAGACGGTGCTGCCTCGAACGACAGTAAGAAAGTTACTGAAACTGCCAGCGGTGGAGAGGCCGCAGGTGGTGAAAAGGCCGCAGGTGATGGAAAGGCCGCAGATGGTGGAGAGGCCGGAGACGGTGGAGAGGCCGCAGGTGGTGAATCCAGCACTCACACGTACGAGGGTGGCGAAAACGAGAAGACTGACACGACCAACACCAAAGACGGTGCTGCCTCGAACGACAGTAAGGAAGTTACTGAAACTGCCAGCGGTGGAGAGGCCGCAGGTGGTGAAAAGCGCAGGGATGGAAAGACCGCAGATGGTGGAGAGACCGGAGACGGTGGAGAGGCCGTAGGTGGTGAACTCAGCACTCACACGTACGAGGGTGGCGAAAACGAGAAGACTGACACGACCAACACCAAAGACGGTGCTGCCTCGAACGACAGTAAGGGAGTTACTGAAACTGCCAGCGGTGGAGAGGCCGCAGGTGGTGAAAAGGCCGCAGGTGATGGAAAGGCCGCAGATGGTGGAGAGACCGGAGACGGTGGAGAGGCCGTAGGTGGTGAACTCCAGCACTCACACGTACGAGGGTGGCGAAAACGAGAAGACTGACACGACCAACGCCAAAGACGGTGCTGCCCCGGACGATTCTGACTGTCCCGAAGGATACGATATAGCCAACACCAACGATTCTGACTGTGCTGAAGGATTGGATATTGCCGGCATCGAGTGTAGTGATGAATACGAAATAGCCAACGACGACTGCACTGATGGACTCGACGTTGCCGGTGCGGAACCGTGCGATGACGAGCTCGAAATGGCTGACAAGACAGACACGACAGAGGATGCTGATATCAGCGAAAAGTTATCTACTGCTGAAAGTAAAGCCCCTGCCACTGCTTTGACTGCCACGGATTCGTATGCCTCTTCTCCTGGTGACGTCAAGCCTGCCAATACTGGCAACGATGATGATACTAATGCGAAGCAGACGGCTTTCAGTGTCGAGGCGGTTAAGTTCCAGTCTGACGGTCCGTCGTCTACGACGACATCAATGGCTGTACCGTTGGCGGCTGCTGCCGCGGCCTGTGCCGCCCTTGCTATCGTGGGTGTGATTTACATGAAGAGACGGAACAAGAAGTCAAAAGAGGCGGAAAGTGACATCTTCACCGTCGACAAGCATTCGGCACTGTAAGGAGGGGACCGAGCTAGGCCTATCTTCGTGTCGCGTGAAGCGCTATCTCGACGCGTTGATTGGAATGAATAAGAGATGGTTCGTTTTTGATGGATGTCTTCCAACTAGGGAAGTGAGTGTGAGTGCATTGCCATCTTGTATGCAGAAGAAGGGCTAAATGAATTTCAAGAATTGTGAAGCTGATTTCGTGGCTCAGTCTCTCTGCTCCACTCGCTCGCCGAACGCGGTCGTGTAGTGTGTTTGTGTCGTTTTTTTCTCGTCAGACCATTTGCGCGTCGCGTCTCGACTGACGCGTGCTCGCGAGTGTAGTGAGTGAGTATCGAAATAGATATACCATTCGTTAGTCTTTTCATCTAGACGTGTTCGACACTTTCGTTGCTGTATTCTAACATGAGAAGCATGAACAATTGAACGCTACGATTCTTGATAGTCTCGAGACTTCTGTAGCCTCAACAAAACACATCGCATCTGATCTCTCAAGAGCATTACAAAACGTCGCCTTTCCTCGAAGCCAGAGAATGTTTGGAGGGTATGGACCGTTCCTTGTTCCTTTAACCTCATCTCTATCCTGTCAGATGCTGTAGAGCACGCGTTCGTTGGTGTCACTTGTGGATGGACTGTTGTCGGATGTTGCAGGAATACTGGTCAACCTAGATCTCTTGCTGCACGATGATGCGTTTCAGCTGCTGAAATGAAGATGAATTCTACAGCACACTTCCATCCAGCAACGCATACTTGCTAGCCAGATGTTATATCTTCAACTTCTATGCGTATAATGCTCCAGCGCATCGAAAAAGTGCTTCACACCTAATGATCGGTCAGGCATCTTGCATTCATATCTACCGGCGCGAATTATGTCTGCGTTCACCATAGCTCCTGCTGTTTCTGTTAGGTCTTGTTGGTAGCGCCTCGCTCAACCGCGCATAGCCATGATTACCGGAGCTTTTCCTGGATCGCGATGAACCGCCTCTGTTGCGGCTTTTCTTGCCCTCATGAGAAGACCTGTCGTACGAGTAGTAATCCTCGTCTTCATCGTAGTTATCGTCATTGTAATCCGGGTACTTGTCCTCTTCATCCCGACCGCGCTTGCGACCAGTAACATGTCGTCCGCTATTATTGTTGTTGTTCGAGTTGTGGCAATCGGCAGCGAAGTGTCCAGGTTTACCACAGTTAAAGCAGTTGCCTCCGCCCCTACCATAGCCATTGGAGCGTACAGGACACTCAGCAGCAATATGGCCAGCCTCGCTGCATACAAAGCACGCCTGCACAGTGCGCCCACTAGCTGTCCGAGAAGCAAAGTTGGTCGCACCTGGCTCACTATACGTACGACATCTCTCAAGCGTGTGATTCTCTGCGCAATTAGGGCAGTACACACGTCTATCGGCAGGAGGCGGCAGGGGTACACAGTGCAGATGCCCCACTTTCGTGCACACCATGCACGTTACTCGCTCTTGGTTCCCCACGTTGTCACAGTCGTCTTTCGAATGTCCAGCACGTCCACAAATACCGCATGGCTCGATATTTCGGGTCCGATTGCTGCAATTCTGTCATCAACAATATTCATGAGATAAAACAGTCAACACCTCGAAAAATCCAAAAAAAAACAAGAGCATGCTCACCCGTGCCTCATGTCCCAGCTGCAGACAATTGGCACACGGCAGATTGGGACACGCCCACGCCTGATGTCCACGTAATGCGCAGTAGTAACACGGCGGCTGCAGCTTATCGTTCATGCAGACATTGGCCATATGTCCCACCTCTCCACAGTGGAAACATTTAGTAGCCAGATCGGTAATAAAGTATCTATTTTCCTTCCGTTTGCGTCCATCGTCTGTTTTCTTCTTGTGTTTGTTCTTCTTCTCTTCATTCAACAGCTTCTCTTCATCTTCTTTTTGTTTCTCTGTGCTCGCCTCAAACAGTGGCACCCCAACGTGTTTTATCTTGGTTTTCACCTGCTCATCTTCTGCTTTTATCTCTTTTTCGACGTCCACGTCACCTGCGTCACCGCGAAATCTCGAGCTAAAGTCACTTAAAATGTAGTCATTAAGTGGCTCCAAAGGAGGCTCTTCAACTATTGCTACTTTACGTTGACTTGCAGGCATTAGAAAGCGAGTTTGTGCCCATTTGGACAGCGTCACGTTCATTTTCTTGGTCTGAAGTGACGGTCTCGAGTCGTCGTCATCAATCTTGATTATGTCTTGAACCTGATTCGTCTGATCCGTCGTCTCATTTTTGATTGGTTCACCAATATCATCATTATCTGAGTCCCAACGCGACGATTTCTGATTCCGACGCGTGGGCTGCACGACAGGAAGCGTTGAAATGTGTGCACGTGGATCCGATGGATCCATTACATGTAGAATCTCCTCCTCACTGTCTGATACCTCACTCATGTCACTCATGGCGCTCAAGACGCCCGCGTTCTCGCCTCGCATCACTTCGCGTCCAATAGCTGCCTTCGTAACTGCCAGTGATTATTGCTAAACGATATCTTGCGCTGTGATTGGTTAAAAATGAGCTAGTATCTTACTGTGTATCATATTGTAATGTATCGATGAATCAGAAAAATATCTGATCCCAAACACCTGGACCTTCCTCTAAAAGAACAATTACGCTAAACCATCACTCTCCAAGTCCAACATGGCGTCGATCGATGAGCCCCTGGATTTAATCAAGTTGAGCGTAGCCGAGCGTATTTACATCAAGTGCCGAGGTGACCGAGAGCTGCGTGGGGTATTGCAGGCGTATGACCAGCATTTGAACATGGTATTGAGTGACGTGGAAGAGACCATTACTGTGCAGGAACTTGATCCGGAGACGTACGAAGAGCTTATCAAGCAGTCGAAGCGAACTATCGAGATGCTGTTTGTGCGTGGAGACGTCGTAATTCTCGTTGCGCCCCCGCTTCGCACTGCCTAAATATAATTTCAGATTTAAGCTGCTGCGAGAGCTCGAATTCACTCGTTTTTTTGTGCATGCCTCGTTACCGAGCGCATACGATCGCAGCGAATAAGTCCTTTAGCTTTATTCGCCCATACCTCCTTGTGCCCAATCATATTCTGCCATAAGCTTTGGAAACAAGATAACACAATAGAAATCCGATCATCTCTGCATAGCAGCTCTATTTCCTCTACACGTACTTGAGTTGTGCATCAGTCGCTGAAGATGAACGTCTGCCAGTCACAGGCACCGCACGCCATTCTCCTTACAACCATTTGTTTCTCATACTTTCTTTATCGTTTCATATCCTTTACGCCACAGCCTTCTTCTTAGGCCGTACCTCGGAATCCTGCACCGTGTGAAGGAAAATGGCATCGTTCGGGTGGCTACGCAACATTAGGTCACAAAATTAATCTCTCAGCTCTAAAAAATCATAGTAACATCTATCACACCAATGCAGCTAGACGTACTCTTTCTCACCCTGTTCATAGGTGTACGAAGCAGCAATAGCAAGTACTGATCCATCATGATTAAAATCCATGGCCGAGATACTCGTCGGATATTGACGCAAATGCGTGATGCGTTTTTTGTTGGCGCCGTCCCAAAGGTTCACAACTCCGTCGCATCCTCCCGTGGCAAACGTACCATACGTTGGATGAAAAGCAATTGCATTAACGGGATAAATAAGCGTCTGACCGTCCACTTTACCACGATGACATTTAAATGCGTAACTGCGTTTCTTTTTACTCATTTCCATCATTATCGTGTCGTCATCAAAGTATTCAAGTGCCACACGACCTTCTACTGACGCCAGAGCGATTCCCATAAGATCAGGAAAGACACGGACGCAGCGTATCTGGTATTTTAAGGGACTTTCTTTCCGGACAAGAGGCTGATCCAATTGTCTCATATCAAACACCATCATTTGTTTCTCAGATGTGCCAATTGCTACTAAATGATTACGAACGTCCATACCAAAGACCTTTCCAGGCACTTGAATCTCATGAATCATAGCGTTAACTCCATTCCGGACGTCAAAGATCTTTATGAGGCCATCCCAACCGCCACTCACTGTCAATCCACACTCATTCGAGTAACCCACGTGTCTTACAGCAGCATTGTGCGTCCCAATTGCCGTTTTATGGCGTGTTTTCATGTCCACGTGACTCACAACACAGTCGAGACCACCCGCAAAGGCCTCGGCGTCGTCTTTGCCGTAGCAACAGCTGAGTACAGGCGTCTCCATCTCGACGCTTGTGCGCAATCTAGCACCATCGTAGACACGCAGTGTTGCGTCCCATGATGCTACCAATAGCTGGGACTGAGCACCGAAACGGAGACACGAGACACCGTCGCTTGGTGGTGCCTGGAGCTCAACTTCAGTCATTTTCAAGAATGTTTGTCAAATGGTTGACCCACCCAGAATGCGGCAAAAAAACCTATGATTATGCATCAAAGGGAAACTTCATGCGTATGTATAGGAATGAACCTCCCATACAAAACGCCAGTCTAAACAACAAACATGGCACCCAAGAAGACCAAGACGCCGCGTCGTCGCGTGTTCAACATGCTGAGCCGTATGCAGGTAACAGGCACTACTACTCCATCCACCATTGATCAAGAGACTCAGACCACCCAATGGAAGCGACAAGGTGCACGTTCGCGTCTCCAGACCGTCGCAGATTTACCTTCCGCCTTCGTCTCGTCTTTTGACGCTGCGGAAACGCGCGAATACGAACGTCAGAGCTCATTTCATGGCCGTAAACAGAATTTTATTATGCTCATACGAGATCTATACGCTATGTTGGACAGTGTAACGCAGGACCGTCGGAAACTTCGCCTTTTATTGCAGGAATTAGTACAGAGACTCTTGGACCCGAATGGAGTTTATGGAGAGGGAAATGGACACATAAATGAGACTGTAAGTGGCCATGTATCAACGGAACGTGAGGTTTTTCTTCGTATCGGTGGTGACGAGTGTCTACTTCGTGTGCTGCATTCACTCCGTCTAGAAGATCAACTGATGCTTCAGACGGCAGAGAAACAGCCACCGCTGTGGTCGACACTCGTGTTGGACGGAGAACGTCGACAGAAACATGGATTGAGTCCACGGAGTGACGTGAGGGCTCTTTGGGAGACGCCTGTGCCAGTTGTCGTGTCTTCGGGCAAGAACGGGACGGATGCGTCGCTGAGGAAACACATTATTAACGATACAATGGCGATTCTGAGAGAATTGTGCTATTTTTCAGTCAAATTAGCCATTCAACTTTGTGATAAGGATGGCTTGATTGTGTATTTGTTTCAACTCATGGGGGACGTCAAATTTTTTGATAATGCATCTGGACTCGTGGAAGAAATCCTTGCAGTGAGAGAAGAGTCTTTTGATCTCAGTCGCGTTCGTACGTGCATATTGAAGACGGAAGTAGTGTGTCAGTTGGCTAGAGTATACTGACCATGTTTTGATGATTTGTACGATGCTGATGCTGCAGCCAGTTTCCATGCAATCATGCAGTCGCTGTCGTCTAGACAGCTTGCGTTCTTTTGCAGAGTACTGGCTCTGGTTGTATTTGAGCCCGAGGACCGACGATTGCTGGAGAGTGCCAGTGCGTGGATGAAACCTTTTGGATGTGGTGGGCGTATCTATTGATCTCTAATGTTCTATGTGACGTGTTTTGCACGCTGTGTAGAGGTGATCAAGTCGCTGGAACTACTTAAACTCCGCCGTAATCGCGTGATGCGTGCAGACAATATAGTGGACCGCAACCACGCGCTTATTTTCAACTCGCCACTTATCCTGCAGCGAATACTGCGCGTATTGCAAGTGCAGAACTTTTACTTTGCACTCAATCCAGTGTATGAGCCTTTTTCGTCAGAGCTTGCGACGTCTGCCGAATTCGCTACTCTGCTTTACCAGACAAGTGATCGCAGTGACTGGGACACAATCGATCGTCTCGTTACTCATCCGGCGCTTGGCTCTTCAGGAGATCTTACGATTTTTCACAGACATCACCAAGCAAGAGCTGCAGATGCGGCAGCTGCAGCAGGAGACGTTCCTGACTCGACTTTGTCATCGCTTTCACAGCAACAGTCATTCTCCGTGGAAACAGCCATTCTTCGAGACCTGATTTTCCGTAACCGTTCATCGGACGAACGTGCGCGGGAAGACGCCGAGGCACAGGTCATAATGAAATCTGTCGTGCTAGCGCCGTACCGCGTGGAAGTGCTTTTTGTGCTTTGCACCTTGCTGAATGGCAAACGCAAGGTTGACTTTCAGGAACGACTCGCAGAGATGGGACTTGTCAAAACACTTGACACGATGTTTGACAAGTTTCAATGGACCACAACGGTGACACTTGATCCAGCACATGAGCCGTTGCATGGTCCAGGCTGTGACTGCAGCCTGGATGCATCGTTAAAGATTCAGTTTCTCCGACTGATTCACAATTTTTGCGACCGCGACTACAGTGACAACACTAGCAAGCTACTGTTGCTTAGTGAGCAGGAAGTTCAGTTGATGAATGATGGTGGTTCCACGCCTATCAACCTCGATCATCCAGACAAGGGGTTACTGTCGAAGATAATTTACGCGCTTATTGAGCAACCTGTTGACTCAATTTATCGTTTCTGGCTAGCATCGTGCGTGGAAGCATTTTTGCGGCATGCAGCACCTGGTGAACAGCTCTTTGTGGCACGCACGCCATTGCTACATGCATTAATTACCGAGATTCTTAGCGGAGGAGCCTATCGCTCACAAGGCAGTTTCCAGTCGGCTTTTGATTTACTTGGAGAGATGACCAAAGGCAACTGTCAGACGTTGCAGCTTTTCCACGGGCTTCTTAGCAACACCCAGTTCGCGACGTTCATGGGTACGTGCGTGTGACGTATGCACTTAACTTACCTCGTGTATATTTTGGTGCTGACTGACAGTAATAATTTGTTTTGAGCTTTTCAGAAGTGGTGATATTGAATTTGGTGGATTCGAACGTGTTCGTTCGGTCGATGCTGCTGTCGTCGGAAAAGTTTGCGAAACAGCCTACAAGCGGAACATTTGGTATAGCGGATGACTACGAAATGGACCGCATGAGCGAGTTCCTGACAGTTAATCTGGTGCGCCTATTGCGTGATCTCATGACAATCGTCACAATGGATGACATCAATCACGAAAACATTTGCTGTTTGAACACAGCCATTGTAATTCTCGTCTTTCAGCATCGTCGGCAGCGGCTCCCGGCTATTCTTGAGGCATTGCGTGACCATAAAGATGTATCAGGCAAACAAGGCTACGTTTGTGATAATTTCCGAGGCTTGCTGTGGTTCTGGATCCAGTATTACACACCACGTGGCCGAGACCGTCTAGGATTGGAGCACTCTAGCGATGTCAAGTTTGAAGAGTGGCGACATGTTGTTACGTTGCTGTGTGCAGATGATGGATCTGAGACTGCCTTGCTCGCGACTCCTGCGAGCCTTCCACTGTCTCCTTACTCGCGATTGTATGCTACCTCTCGAGAAAGGAGCAATTAAAGCGATGTGGATCTACATGGTAGTTGTTCAATCTCGCCAGTCTTATAATTAAGAGTTGTCAACATTACGCGAAAGCGTCATTGTTTCGTCGGCGGCTTATTATTCATGTTCGTCACTTAATGGACTGACTTTTTTGTTAATCTATTTCAGCCAATCCAAAGGCTTCAATGAATTTCTTTCCTTCATTACACGACCCGATGCTATTGCGACTGACGTTGCTGCTACTGACGTTCTTTACTACTTGTTCATGGGCCAGACCTACAGACTGTGAGATAAACGGCATTCAGATTGATCACGGTCGTGTCAAGTACTTATTGGGTCGACCTCATCGTCCGAGTAGTATTTACGCTCAATGTTTGTATGGGAGTGTAACCTGTTTCGAAGACCGCGGACTAGTGGATGCCCCGTATTGGATTAATAGCTACAAAGTCAATTGCATGCAAGCATTAGAAAGACGAAGATTGGGTGTGGCTATTATATTAGAAGAAGATTTTTGGCCGGACCATATTCTTTGGTATCGTATTAGTGGTTCCTTTTCCAAGTACGAACTTGAGATCATTGATACGGCAATGAAAGTCTATAGTAAAATAGATGTCAATGTGACACTACAAGAGTGTGATCCAGTGTCCAAGTGTAAAGGCAAATACGTTAGTATTGAACAAAATGAGGACGCCTGTTATGGCATGGTGGGGTACGTGAACGATGGAAAACCACAGCTCATGAACCTTGGTAAAACGTGCTTCGGTGGTGGACCAGGCAACATTGTGCACGAGATTGGTCACGCTCTGGGATTGATCCACGAGCACACGCATCCGGATAGAGAGGTTATCGTGCTTACGGACCAGAATTTGCCTGTATCTCCTGAAAATTATGCCAAGACGACGAGTCGTAAAGCTCTTCTTAAGCCGTACGACTCGAAATCTATCATGCACTATGGTCGCACTGCTGGACTCTGTTTCCCCAAGGCACACTACCCGCTCAAATCGTTCTGTGATGTGGGGACTGCTAAAAATTGCGTCCAACCGGTGGAGCAGCACTGTAATTCAAGTCGGGACTCAGAGATTGGAACTCGTGCGGTGCTCAGTGCTGGAGATATCTACACCCTCCGCTCTCTCTACGGCTATAAGAATAACACGTCGGTGCGCGACGTGAAGATTCCGACCGTGGACTTATCGACCGCTGAAAGTATTGGAGTTTCGGATTCCATTTCTGACATGATGAACTCGTCGAAATCGAGTGAAGAGCTATCTTTAACAGAGCAAACTGTACATGATAAACCGAAAGCCGGTCATAGCGAGGTAAGCAGTGCTGATGGGTCACGTGCGAAGTTTTTAAAGTCGTGGGAAAACCTGGACAACACTCTGCAAGCTCAACAGTAGACGTCGTCTACTTTGACGTAAAGGTACCTTGCCGCCGAGCGGACACAGGACTGCTGTACGCTGCCGATCAATTGTTCATAGTCATGGTTGTAGCTACTAATATAGTTGTTGCCGGTTGTTCATAGTCTTGTTGTTAAGTAACTGGCAACGTATAAACATTTTCTCAAGGACTATCGTAAACCTTCGTTAAGTCTTAAGGTCTCTGTCGCTTCAACCTTGTTGCATTCAGAGAAAGACAAACTTTAACTGGACAATGTAAGCTTTTCACGATTAGAATCGCCAATTCTCTGTCTCGAGGGTTTCTCCAATAATTCATCCCATATCGATGCGTCAGCTCCGAGCAAAAGCTTTCATGATCTATGATTCATTTCCAAACTGGTATCGAATCACCCCCCCCCCCACCCCACCACTTCGGTCACCAAGTTTAGTCTATGTCCTTAAGAAGCGACAGAGTGTTGTCATGTTGTCTTCTAAAACCAAGGCGACCAATTTGTGCTGACCCACAAGAGCTTCGTGCCTGATGATGGCGAGACCTATGTCAGCTTTAAATAAGACAACACGTACATGTTCGTTGACATCTCGTACACATCGGCATTCGCTTAGGCGGACAATCTAATTAATTTGTCCGTGGTGTAAACCACCTCACTTACTTTATCAATCAATTGGATACACAAGTACCTTACACGTTGTATAACTTGTCCGCTAAAATGCACAGTGCAGTGATACTTGGTTCTTTACCTCTTGTTATCAAGTATAAAGTATAGGAGGATAATTTGTAATATGTTATATAGCATATAACTGCTATACTGTACCTGTTACGATTTGAGATATTCAGCACCTCCTTCATTCCCTACCAGTAGATTCAAAGCCGTTCCCTCTCTTTTGTTCATTTGCCAGTAAACCATGCGTATATCCTTCGACACAATAATTGTGGCACTTGCTGGGCTCTGTCTAGTGGGTCTTCATGTGCATGCAAATCCATCGGTACTAGACGACAAAGAGAGGAGTGGGACTGTTACTGCTGTAGTCGAATCGGCGGTAAACGCGTTAAAGCCGACATTTGGCCCTGATTACATCGAGGAATGGCTGACCGCCAAGAAATCAACAGCCGACGTTTTCAAGTTGTTAACGCTTGACAAGGCGGAGAATGTTTTGCGCCATCCAACGAATTTTGCAGTTCTAGGCAAGTTTGTGAAACAGTTTAACTTGGCGAACCCCGAAAGTCGAACCTCACTCATTAAAGTACTTACGAATCACTATGGGGAATATGGTGTGTTTAAGATCATTGAAGCTGCAAAGCTTCAATGATCTTAGACTAGCCAGAAGATTGCAGGAGGAGCAGTTTCAATACTGGCTAGGTGCGACAAGAAATCCCAGGAATGTGTTTGCACTAATGCAACTTGATAAAGCTGGAGAGAAGCTTTTTGAAAAGCCAGAGATTATCACCTGGGTTGAGTATTTGGACCAGTACAACAACATGTATGCTGGCAAGCTGGGGCCGGTATCCTTGCTCTTTCTTATGAGAAAAAATAACGAAAAAACTTTTGTACACATGCTGATCGCTGCGAAGGAGGTCCCGAGTACAGAAGAACTCGCGGTGCGCGTGCAAGCCAAGCTGACTTTGTTGTGGCTTCGACAAAAAAGACCGCCGGATGCAATTTTTGAACTTCTTAACCTTCACGAAGATGATTTCCTCTTGTTGGGCCTTTTTGACAACCGCCTGGATGAAGTATGTAGACGATTACAATTTGAAATCAAAAGGTCGACAAAAAGCCGATGTTCTCGAGATTTTACAGCAGTGGTATTCAATAGAAATGTTGGAAAAAGTGCCTATCGATATGTCCAAGTCTCGGAGCTTCGAACGTCTAGCATTAGAAATGAAAGCCATAGTGCAGAAAGCATGGTTCACACAGCTTCAATCTCCCGTGGATGTACAAAGGGTTATGGAGGATCTAAAGCCACCAGAGAGAAGCACACTACACCGCGCTTTGGAAGATTATCCTATATATTTCCACACACGCTTAATACACCAAAAAAATTATAACAACAAAGTCAACGCTCTGAAGAAGCACTTCAAAGAAACGAAAGACTTGGCGAAGATGGTTCTTGACGCATCGATGGATCAAGAAACAGAGAGAGTTGCCTCCAGATTCATGGACGTCTTACTCAAGCAATGGGTAGATGACTCCGTAGAACCGACTACGGTAAGGGAATGGCTTCGATTTGAACATACTGCGGCGGACAGTGTTACAAAGAAGCAGAACGACATTACTGAGAAGGAAAACGAAATTGCTGAGCAGCAAAACGAAATTACCAAGAAGCTTAACAAAAGGTACAGAAAGATGTACAACACGGATCACAACGTCCCACCTACCAAACGCCACAAATCAAAGCATAGCGAACGATGAAGTCATTGACATTTACAAAGCATTTTCCTCAGCTTGCATTGAAAACTACCAACCTTCAACGTACCCGATTTGTCTAATGCTGCATTTACTGAGCGTTAAACGCATCTGCTTACATACAGTAAGTGTAGCTATTCCAAGTTTGTTTTGCAAGAACAATCTGCTCTAATTTACTGTACCTATGCTCTATTTGGTTTTACAGTACCTTTTTTGACGGTACATAATTAAAGGACCCTATTGTTTTATTTTAAATCAGTACTCTTTTTTCCTGACCACAACACATCGAGCTCATGCTGCAACTGCAGCGCCTCATGTTCCGTCGCTCTTGCGTGGATGTCCATGTGCGCTGCATCTCGTCCAAATTTGACGCTCGTCCGTGCGAGCTCAGTGCAACAGGCCAGCCGAGTCGGGTGCTTTTTGGTGCTAAAGTTGCTTCAGAGCAACTTGGCGCGTTAAGTCGCGCTAGCGGCATGCACAAGGTGCTGGTTGTGCATGACCGCGATGCCGCCGCTGCCTCACGCACGCAATTTGTCGAGTTTCTATTGATGCAGGCAGGCGTTCCATGCTTCCAGTACACGCTGGAAAGAGACTGTGCCACGCTGGATGGTGTGGACCACGCGGCTGCCATGGCTCAACGTGTGGGCGCCGATGGAATTGTCGGCTTTGGTGGTGGCAATACGATGGACATGGCTCGAGCTGTGGCAGTAGTGCTGGCCAATGATGGGTCTGCAGTGGACTTTGTGGTCGATAGGAGCGAGGACAGCGAAAATGATGAGGTTAAGTTGCAGCAAGGAAAACTGCAGACCGTGCCACTGTTGCTCGTCCCAACCATTGTAGGGAGTGGAGCGGAAATGGCCAAGCGCACTATGTTGCTGGACGATGATGCCGAGAAAAAGTTGCTCTTTGCAGCTGGGAGGGACATTGTGCCTGAGGTATATTGACAAGTTGACGTTATTGTTTTTTGAGATGGCTACATATGTGACGTGTGAGAAACCAACTGACAAAGTGATGTACTGTGAGGCGGTGATCATTGACCCGACATTAATGCTAACAGTGCCGCTGCATTTGACGGTGCAAGGTGCTTTGACGGCTCTGGGTCAGTGTTTGGAGTCCTATTTGCTGGGTGGTGCGGATGACGCTTTGGCACTGGAAGGGATGGAAGCCGTGGCGAAAGCTCTTGCTGCGCCGCTCAAGGAAGGAAAACTGGACCTCAAGGGAGCAATTCTACGCGAGCAGTTTGCACTTGGCAGCTTGTTGTCGGGGATTGCAGCCAACTCGTCGGGGGCAGGATCAGCACAAGCGCTCGCGGTGTCAATGGGTGGCATCTCTGACCTTCCACACGCGCAGGTAGCCACAGCTTTTTTGCCATTTGTTTTCGACCGGTATGCTGAGCTGCTGAAGGAGAATGAAGGCGAATCGTCCTTTGACGAGCTGCATGAAAAGCTAGAGGATGCGGCCGACCGATTAGCGGCAGCAAGCGGATTCCAGGGCGACAACGTGGCCACGTGGCTGCGTTACGTCATCAAGCGCTTTGATTTGCCGACAGCGTCTACACTTGAGCTGGAGAAGGATATGCTGGACGGCCTTGTTGATCGTGCTGCACAGTACCAGGACGAGTCGATGGAAGTATCTCGTAGCGATGGAAACGGCGCTATCATGGAGAAGGATGACTTGCGTGCTATCATTGACAGTGCTGTGCTGGTTGTGACACCTGCAAAGAGCAAAGACAAGTGACCGGCATTAGAAACTGACATTTTTGTTAGAGACGCGTCTTCGCATCATACTCTTGTGTTTTTTGCATTCGAGCAGCGCAAGGAATCTAAAAAATGTCTATGAGCTTTCAATTTCGAGAGCGCCGCTAACAAGCTGCTGAAAACAAATCGAGCAAGACTTGTTGTTGTACAAGCGATAAAACCAAAATTTTGGCCAGCGCACACGTTAGACAGGAGATGTAGAGATTGAATATCGTAGGTTCTTGAGCAATGTTTTGTAGCTGCAATAGTCGGCAGCATGCGCTTACAAAGTATATTTGTATCGTGCGCAATGCGCTTTAGTTGCATTCCGTTTCCGGCGGAACAATCGCTTCCATCTACTAGAGGCCTGTACTTTGCGTGGCTCGCTTCTCGGCATCAAACTCAGCGTATGACAATGTTTGGACTGGATCGCCAGCCAGTGTAGTGACCAATGTGGCTCCGACTACGCGTTTTGCCAGCATCGCGACACTGTTTGACCATTCCGACTATAAACAGCAGCAGCATTGCAGCCAGGTAAGCGCACCAAGGCCCTGGGACTGTATACACCCATGTTCCTCTTCCAGTCAGATGTGAATGAAAACGCTCAATGTCATCACCACTTGGGTACTTACCAGCAAAGTAGCCGACGCCCCAAATGGCTATGACAGAACCCACGAGACTGCTAGCGACAATAGTAAACGGGCGTACTAGCAGCCACGCCAATATACCACCTATAAGCACCACGGCACCGTCCAAGACGTAACTCGATTCACCCGGGAACACACGATAGGGAAGCGAAGAAGTAAACGTGTAGGCCAGCATGGAACCTAGCACAAACACACCGAGTGGGAAGAATGCCAGTGCAACGCAACCTCCGGCGATACCAATGACAAAACCCCCAATCCATGAAGCTGCGAGCACCCAAGACTTTAGTCCGAAAGCATTTTCAACCGCCACTGACACAAACAACCCTGTGACGAGAACCCCGCAGACAAAGATCATCGTTCGAAGCAGTCGAAAACCATAGAGACAAATAACAAGACCCGTGATGATTGCGAATTCAGCAACGACACCCGGTTCAATGTGCAAGTGATCAGGAAAATATCTCGAAGAGTCCATGTGACCACAAACAGAGAGTATTCCAATTGCACGACTTGAATGCCAAAGCGTCCAACCGCATTTTTTTCTTCTTTGAAAATCTGGGACGGGATCAACATCACTTACCTTCTTAGATGCGAGGAGGCTGGCTGGTTGTTTTCACGGATATTTGCTATCATTGGAAGCGATTCCCGTAGCTTTTGGTAGATACTTGGTACTTCTACAAATTGGACACCTTGTCCGTCGAACCATTGGCAATACTTCCTCCGGGGTCAATATCAATGCCACGATCCACATGCCCACATATTTAAGGCTACGTTTCCAAGTACAAGTATCTATTAGCGACCCGTTCGTACCCGTGAGCAATCGTGATTAACTTTCGTGACACCATAACTAGTTGCATGAATGAGCTTTATAGATATTCCTGCATGATATTGAAGTCCATTATTGCTAGGGTGGAATCGCCGATTAGACAATAGTAACAGACTTCTATCAACAGAAAACAACTGCGTCGTTGCGTGAAATGTGGTATTGGCAAACCTAGATATGGATTCTCGGACTCAACAACATGAGTAGGCGGTCCTTCAGCCCAACTATCTTGTCGTACGTAGCCAGCACAAAAGCGTTACAAAAGACTTGGAAACAATGTGGCGACTCGGGAGTCGACGTCTACGGATGAATGTTGTTGCTTCGCAGTTGATACGAGTCGTAATGTCGAGTCCCCCAAGCATTGTAGCTCTTGCGTAACAGCTGTGTCACGCGGTGACGAATATCTTGTCGTGAAAGTCCAACGCATAACCGTGTACGCAGGTCTGCGATGACGCGCACGAGCTTCGCACCGTGAAAACAAGGAAACGGAGAGTGTTGCCCTGTAGTCTGCAGCAACGCAGCAATCTCGGAGTGGTACTTTTGAAGAACCACAAAACCTTCACGTAGACAGTGACGGAAGTGTCTGTATCCAGGAGATTCCAGCCCCCCCATCACATCGACCATCTCCTTCGTCAACTTGAACGGGGCGTCTTCGACGCTGAAAATGCCACCAGGTGCAGTACCGAGAATGAAACCAAAGTCAATATGAATGATTCGACCCTCTGAACTGAGCAAGATGTTGCCGTTGTGACGATCCTTAAGCAGTAGCACGTAACTCACAATAGAGTACGCGGCCATACTTTCAATAAACCGGCGCTGTGTGGCAAGAAACTCTGAACTCGACGGGTCGCCGTATACACTACGAAAGTATTCCGACAGATTGCCGCCGGGAAAGGTCTTCTTGAGGTGGTCCAGCGAACAAGCATCGGTAATCGTCTCCAGTAGACCGATGTTGGCTCCAGTTGCAACAATTCTGTACGTGCGTAACCACAAGTATGGAGCCTCGAACTCGAAGATGGACTTGAATTTGTGGATAAGCTGCATTGTAAAGACCTCCTGACGCAAATCATCATTTGTCTTGATAATCACAGAGAATAGGTTCCACCCGGGTAATTTTCCCATTGGCGACTCGCTTTGAATACGCGCCTTGCGTTCTTCCCAGCTCTCACCAAACACTTTGCTGTCATACACAAAGTTTTTGACGCCCAAATGTCCAGTGCGTGCACCAACACCAATTTTACTACCACGACTTGGCTGGGGCAGGTGGGACATGATACTCGTGTGTCGCCTGCCTCTTGCTGAAGCAGTTGCCTGTCCCTCGTTGTTAGGTAGAAGCATGTGCTGATCTACAGTACAGCCAGGGCCACTAGCTCGTCTATCGCTTACCCTTTCGGGCACGCTGGCCGAAAGGCTGCATGCCTGCTGTAAAGCCAACTCATCGGGACAAGTAACTGTGCTTGTTAGCGTAGGTGCTGCCATTATCAAGCTGCTGCACGGCGACATGACGGTATCTCCACTCAACGATACACCCGAGACTTCAGATTCATCAAGAAATGCTGACTCGAAGAAGGTGGAGTTACGAGGCTGTGAGCTGAAAACAAATGGACGAAGACGATCGCTGTCGCAGTCATCGAGATCAATCGCACCAGCACTTTGTAATGGAACGGTCTCTACAAAGATGAGAGTCGGAGCACGCATCTTTGTGGAGAACACCTTGCCTTCTGTTGGTGGGATGCGAACTACTTGGTACAGCTCATCGGATGCCGCGCTCAGCGGATAAAGAGCCGAGGATTGAAGCGTCTTATTCAGTGTCTCCAACTCGCTCGCCAAGTACTTACCACGGTCCGATACGGGTTGAATGTGACGCAGGCGTTCACTAATGGCCGCCAGTGACTGCACAAAACTCACTTGCTCAAGTACCAGCGATTCGATTCCAGTCCCCGGTGAATCATCCGATAGGCTGCTCTTTTCGACCTCCAATGAATCATAAAGAATGCTAGACTGGAACTCGCATAGTTCGATGCCCGATTCTACCAACTCTGCAGCACAGTTCTGAAACTGTGGCACCGTTTTGGCATTCAGCCATCGCTCTATCATGGAGTGAGGCTCGAGCGTAATGAGTTTTTCCATGTCAGCATTGATTTGTCGCAAATCAGCCAGGATCTGAGCTAGCTGGTGTTCAGGACAATCGGCAAACACGAGGTCTTTCCAGACGCTAAATATGTGCGAGCTCCCGGGTAACGTGATATCCGGATAGATGAAGCCAAGCAACGAAAGTAATGTGTGCGGGTGGAGATTGTGGTAATTACCGTCCCCCACAGAGGCTTGGACGTGCCAAATGGTCTGCAGTGCGATGCGAGGGCACCGACGACAAATGGCACGGATGTAGCGCTGTAGATAAAAAAGCTGGGCAGTACAGCGTGGGGCTGGCTCAGCGCCCAAGCATTGCACGAGATGCAAGAGCTGGTACCAAAGATTTTCCACTCGATCTACACAAGTCTCGGTATAGAACGGCAGTCGTTCACATGCCACTCGAAAAAGATGCAGCTTTTTTCTCGTCTGGTACAGAATCTTAATGGTGCGATTAAGCGTCATTGGTCCGTGCTGAAGCTTCTGCAGTGTCCGGGCGAGCATGTCACCTCCCTGATTCCCGCGTACATCGTTGCACGCTACAAGTGCATCGATTGCATTGCCTCGACTCGCCATTGATCTCAGAAGCCGCTTCGTCGTCCGCAAATGCCGGATAAACTCCTGTCTTTGTGCACAATGGTCACAACATCGTCGAGCTGCTCGCAGTCCAAGATGTTGCAGACGAATGCCATGACGACAGTGTCTCGCACAAAACGCGCGTGCACATGAGCCACACACGACGCGTCGCGCCATCAACGGCCGAAAGCGCACAAAGCACTCGGCACATCCTGCTTCTCCAATTGTCACTGTCGAATCACAAGTCAAAGCCGACGGCGCCGACGAAATGCACGTGATATCAAGCGACCTTTCACGTGGGAACGCACACGGCGTCGAGAGCGGCGGTACAACGTCCGTGGGTCTTCTCATGTCTCCCGGAACGATCCGACGTCCACCTTCATCCACTGTCATCTGCAGTGTCATGTCCGTTGAGCTCTTGGAGCCTTGCAACGCCCGTTCTAAATGCTGTAGCCACAGCACTCGGTCCTCGGCCGTCTCGGCCACACAAAGCAGTAACCGCTTGGACGTTGTACGTACAGAAAACGTGTGTGCGTACGTCCGTGCTAATGCTCCACGACCGTCCCAAGATTCAACACTTTGGACCCAAATTTCTCCACAAAGCTGAGAGTCCGTCTCGGCACATTCTCGGCTCCGATACCAGCGTAAACGTGCCCCTTGTAGGACAGAGAATCGCCATGAACCCATGTATACACGACCAGAATAACGTTTACGTAAATATCCACCAAAAAGCGGCGATTGAGCTTTATCATGTGAAGCCATAGACGTCCTGGAAAATGGGTTCATTGGAGACGTAGTCGGCATTTCGACTTATTATTGCGACGGTGTCTGATTCCGACACTTGATGGAATCAGACACGTTGGCGTGACGGCAAAGAGTCTGAGTCTGCGGTATTTGAAATGGGTGATTCAATTCAAAAGTGACTCGTTTCTGCGATAGTTGCTGAATCAAAGTCATGGAACTTTGCAAATTTGTGAGACTAATGGAGAAATATCATCTGATCTCGAATTATCCGTCGCTCCGATACTATCAATAGACATGGTCCAAAAAGAGCGGTTGCCTTGTCTCAGTTAACCTGTCATCCTAAAAATATCGAGCTTAATTAAGTCGCGGATTCTAAATTTTTATACCGCCAGTTCGACTGAATTGAATTATACTTCGAATAGAGGAGACTCAGTACTTGGCCTTCGGGCTTTCAGTGTAACGATGCATTTCGTGGTATACAAAGTTCTTTGTTCCCGATTGATCAGAGTCGCTGGTTTCCATGGGAGACACTGTTTTCGTGGCTGTCGCTTTTGAAGCTTTTGTAGATGAGATCGAAAATTTGGCAACGAAAGCTGAAGTCTACACCGCCTTATTCGATGATGATGATAGGGCCTGAGTGAGGGTCTGCAATGATAGAGACGAAGTAGACGCCAATGAATCTGTCGGCAAACTAGTTAAGGTAGATGAGTTTGACTGGATCAAGCTCAGGCGGACGACGAGGTCTGGGTTGCGTTCAAATACGAAGAGCTCTTCGACCGGAAAGTCTGTGTCAACTGAAAAGCTAGTTCGTTGAAGTAGATGTCACTGCACAGCGTATCCAACAGACCATCGCCGCGATTTGAAGGCGTCTTGCTTCCTTGTGACCTACTAACAGACCTTCACGTCGTCCTCGCCATCCGTCGTCTTGACATAAATGTTGCTCAAAGTGGCTTGGTCGCCGTAGTTCTCACGATACTTTCTTTGTTATTCTGCCGTTCCCGCACACGTCGCGCGTCCCATTACAGGTGCAGTCGTGGATTGAGCAGTGCACACCCTCCTTCTCGTTCTTGCCAATGATGGTGTTTTTGAGGGTGCCGCCAGCCTCGACGAGAAAAAGAACACGGCCGCGTCGTTATGTTCAATTCTTACCATCCGAGCACGTGATGTCGGAGTGCTCGAACGTCTGCGTCTTGCTGTTGAGATGGCGACTAGTGACCTTTGTGCTCAGGTATCTCCACTTCGATGCAATCGGGACAAGATACTAGTCGTGAAAGGGCGCTTTGTTGGAGACGTCGCTAGTGTTGCTGCTTTTGTGACGGCCAATCTACCCCTCCTTAGCACGCACTTTGGGCCAGACGACCAGCTCAGCCATGGCCGAGCAGTCGCCACAAACCCCCATGGACCTCGGGCTCCTGTCTTCGCCGCAAGCCTCCGAGTACCTGCCGTCCATCTCGCCAACCGTCGTTTACTCGACTGGGCAAGCTGCGTGGACGCCACAAGAACTGCAGACACTGCACGCTGCCCTCACGCAGTACCCCCTTGATCACTTTGACAACGTCACACGCTACATCAAGGTCGCTGCCACTCTGCCACGGAAGTGCGTACGTGATGTGGCTTTTAAAGTCAAGGCGCTCGGCTGTCCAAGTGCCCAGCCTGCCACAGGCATCAAGCGCATGAAGATCGAGCCGTACCAGGAACCAAATCCACAGACCACAGCCATCGCTGAGCTGGAAGAGACGCGACTTGCGGCTCTCCTACAGGACAATATACTGGCCATCAACACGATGCGTACGAATCTGCTGAACGGCAGAGCTGACGAAAACTGCTCGCAGATGCTCAGATTTCGAGGGAATTGCGAGACGGTGCTCTCTGCGTAGGTCTTCATAATGCTGTCTCAATACTGGATGGAGCTGACTCTTGTTGTTTTCTTCTGCTGTAGCCTAAGTGGCATTTGCACGTCCATTCCGCCGCTGCCACTACAACTCGATACGTCATTGATAGACGGCGACAATGCGGGCACCAACAACCGCATCAGTAGCAACAAGAACCAGTAGAAGAGATATAAGTCATACCTTATCGATAACCTCTTCGTATGTGTAAATGCGAAACCAAGTTCGGGTATCATTAATTTGTCCAAACATGGAGCTTTTTTCAACAGTGGCTTCAGTTAGTGTCTGCGGTTCGAGCGGCTACTACGACTATGACTGGGACTGCGTCTATGACGGTCTCGGTCTCGATCACGCCTGTGGTTTCTACCTCGATCATCGCGGCTCCGACTGCGATTGCGCTTCTCGCGGTCCGACCGACTCTGACTACGACTATGACTTTCATCTCTGTCCACCGACTGCTTCCTGTCTTCTCTCTTGAATCCAGAGCGTCTGTCGTCGTCTAGCGTGTCTGTCTTTTTCCTCTTCTTTCGCTTCTTCTTATCCTCTCCAGGTCGCTTGGTCGCCCCCAATCCCAACAGTTTATGTCTCGGCTGTGGGACTTCTCCCACGTTATCCAAGTCCATGTCTCCTCTCCAACCCATACCCCTAAGCAGAGCCGCACCAAAGGCCTCCACCGGCACCGACTCGTACACGTCACTGTGAACGTCCGGTGCATCAGGGCGGAGCGCCACGTCGTGTCGATACTTTTCCGTGACGTCCTGCAGCTCGTCCAGACCCGGGACGGCATTTTGCTGCAAAATGGGCTTCTGCTGTTCCTTTTTGGATCTTTTTTCGCCGTCCTGGAACAGCTCTGCACGCCTCTTTTCCTTCTCGCTGATGACGGGGATCACCAGCTCCTGCTGCAGTACGTTACCACCTGAATGTGCTTTGCTCTCGGCGAGGATCTCGGCCGCTGCCTCCTGGTCCGCTGATAAAGTACCCATTTCTACGGTCAAAGTACCCATTTTCTCTTCATTTGATTCAGCATTCCAGGAATTAGTCTCCAATAAAGGAATGACCAACGCCTTTGCTCGGTCCTCAGGGAGCGCATTTGGGTCAAAGTCCGTCACGAAGATCTTCTCAGACGTTTGTGGAGCCGCAGAAATGGGAGTTGAAAAGCCTGCGGACGTCTCCAGAGTCTTCTTCTTGCCTTTCTTGAGCGCAAACCCGCCTAGCTTCATGGAAATAAGGTTTGTAAGTGATACCTTGCCTAAATCCTCTTAAATGTTATACGGTTTGTAGTTTACCTCCCATTAAAAATACTTGAATAAAGCCTCGTGACAGTTTGCTATCTAAGCTTAGAATCAAGTGACCATTTAGTACACCATAGTTGAAAAAATATGTTTGACCATCGTTTATTCGTAGGATTCACCCCCAACCAACCCCCAATAAATTAAGTTCAGCATCGACTCGAGTTCACCCAGAAGAGGGCTACCCGCCCTATCGACGGGTACACAAGGTGAGAAATGAAATTACGCGGAAACGGGGTACCCCCTCCGATAGTCAATTGTTTGGGTGACAGTGGAGAGGTGGATCACATTAGAACTATTGTGATCGCAGCTCGACCACAGTTACTTGCAATGCTTCCCGTAATGCTGCATGGGCGCATCCTCGATTTCATGGACGAGGATCGTGTACAAGTCCTCTAGTCCTAACGATTGTGGTACCGCGTGCGCTATATGGATGGAGCTCTTTTCAGTGGCACCCCCGTCAGCATGGGTCGAGCCGTGTCTCTTTCCGAACGCCCTCGCGATGGCCTGATCCTTTCGACCTAGCATGATCTTCCTCATACTCCATCTCGCAAACCTTCATTCTTTCCTCGCTTGGTTGTTGTATTCTCTTGGCACCGGGGCCCTGTCACTGTCTTCGGGCGCTATGCGCGTCGTCCGCCGTTGAACAAAGCCTAAGATGGGATACTGTTTCTTCCTCTCGCCGACCTGGTCATTGCGCAGAATATTGTTACCTGCATCACCACCCTTGGTGCGGATGCCGATCCACCCCCAGGTAAGTGGGTTAAACCTAGCATTCGGCTCATTTATGATGCTTAACTGTACCTTTTCCTCTTAAGTACGAAATGTTTTGTGTCGTCGGGTTAATCTTGCCCGAGGAGGTCACTTTGCTACGCGAGCTAGCTGGAGCTAACGCACACACTGATGCTACCAAGGAGGTGATGAAGCATCTTATACAAGTATCGCAACTGGGGGAGGCCTCGAGTGAATATGCTTCACTTGGTGGATCGGTAGATGGCCACTCGTCGACCTAGCCGAGAGTGGACTTTTAACCAAATTCTTCAGGTAGCTTGTCGTCCCTGGCCTTATCCTTGTTAATTTCAGGTCCTGGCGTTTGCTTTGCTCCCGGACCGTGACGTGAGGGAGATCGCTTTTGATGGCGGGTCTTGGGGGAGTGTTGATACTCGAACAAACGAGACCAAATACGTCCTGGAGTTTTATTCGAGCTTTAACTTAGCCACACGACTGTCTTTAACGGGGGGGGCGAAATACATCCTTTTCCGGAACAGATGGGTAGCTTAGAGCAAGTTCTTTAAGATGACGAAGTCGTGCCACGTACGTCGCACATTGAGTATTAATTTTAATATAGTCCTATCCTTTCACTCCTTTACTCTATCCTTGCCTATAAGCCCTGATTCCTTGTGCTGACTGCTTCTGATTCCTTGTGTTGACTTGGAAGGAGTGTTTTAACCTTGAGGAACCCAGGTCTACCGATGAGGAACCCAGGTTTACCGACGAGGAACCTAGGTTTACCGATGAGGGACCCAGGTTTACCGAGGAAAACCAGTACTACAATTGCACGTGAGACTAACATAGTGTAGTCAATTCCCAGAATCCGGATGAGGGCTAAGACCTCTTTTTCAACCATCCCGTACTTTACCACATTAAGCTCCAACGTCCGAATAGTGAAAGTGACCGTCAAAATACTCCATCATGCTCTTGCAGTAACGCGGCTGATATCGCCCTCTTGCTGGCGTATACCACAATTACAGGTGATCGATCCGGATCAAAATGCTTCAGGATTGGTGTTGCAGCTATTTTAGCCTTCAACAGAGTGAATGCAATCATAGCCTTCTCCCAAGGATTTTTTCCTCTACGATCTTGAACGTTTTCAGTAATAAAAATCTGATTAATTTTGTATCCATTATAGAGGAATTGATTTTGTAGCCATCTCTGGAAAATTGCGACCACACTCTGGTCCAGCGTCAGCTATGGATATCTAAACGTCAGTAGTGCGGCGGATTTCATGGAAGCCAGCTTCCCGCAGCTCATAGAGCACAGATGCATAAATTGCATAGTCTTCAATAAACCGACTGTAGTAATTCAGACTCCCCGAAAATGATTGCATCGATCGCAGCGTTGGGGAAATTGAATATTTACAAGCGATCCCAAATCCTTTATGTGAGCTTTTAACCCTGCAAGAAAATCCTGATGACCCAGGTAATCTACTTTACGACGTCCCAGGAAACTCTTAGCAAAACTGATCGACAAACTCCACTTATCTCACGCCTCCAACAATCGTTCCACCTTCTCATAAAGGGATTTCCACAATGTGGTGGGTATCAATATATCATTAATATATGAGCGCCGACCTAACACTGACGGTTTTGGGTCAGTGTAATGGGGTGTATCCTTACGCAATTAGATATAGTTAATTATATTTTACATAAGTATTTTATGCTACATCCGAGATAGCGGGTGTAACCATTCGTAATATTTCACCAGGCTTTCCCTCTCAATTGGATTGGTACGTATTTTAACGGCGACGCACCTAGTACACGGATGCACAGTTCAAGCCCACTTGAGGATTTGTCGGCCGTGAGTATCGAACCCGTGACCTCCCGGTCCCAGGTATAGCCAATCGTATCTCTATTCGCAGATAAGTGAGAATCCGTCTATTATCAGCCAATAAAAGTAGATATTTATAGTTGATTGGTCCCATGCGTTTAGGATCCACTTGTACTCAATATATAAACATATATATATAAATTAGAGTTCAAATTAACCTCAAGCGCGCTAGTTATTGTGCACTCCGTTACGCTATCTCGTAAAACCTGAAGTGTGTGTAAGTAACGTAACTCTAGCCCGTTACAATCAGTATTCGATTCACTGTCAGTAAACACGTCAATCACCTTTAACGACTCAGTAGTGGTAGAACTAGAGCTTGTACCGATGTTCATATATCCATATAGAGCATTGTCGATCAATCGTTATAAATGTAAATTGAGCATTTTCTAAGCCAAAAGGCATACGTAACCATCATATAATCTAGACGGCGTAATAAATGCAGAAATTGCTTTTGCTTGTTCCGTCATTTTAACCACCCAAAATCCACTCACCATTTCTAGGGAACAATACCACATCGCTTTATCCATACCTTGTAGCAATTTACTGATTAGTGGCATAGGATATATATTATAATCGGGTCAACCGATTTGCCCTACGATAATCGATACATAATCGCATGTCTTCACCATTCTTCTTAATAATCACTACAATCGGGGAGGCCCACGGTGATGTAGATGGCCGAATAATTTTGGCAAATAACAATCCCTTGATCAAATCTGCTAATTTTTCTCGAAAGTTGGGTGCCACAGGTCGCACTCTTTTCACACACTTCTTTACGTGCTGCGGGAGGTAAGGCATTGCCTTTTCTATGAGTAAACGGCGATTCTTCGATAAATTAATTGTCGTAACGTGTCTTGATCCTCGATTAATGGTATTCCAGGGTCACCAGCTTAAATATCGTCAATCAATACTTCCTCTGTAGCCATAACAATTTCTGGCAACACCGCCATATGCTGATCTACATCTTCCGCAAATAAATTACCCTTTTCGTAAGAATATACTGCCTCTTCGCATGATGACTCTTCTGATGGGACATTTTCGATTGCGATCGCAGTGGACTTACTTTTCACTCAATTATAATGTTCTTGATCGTTATCGTCCATTGAGATCTTCGTCAGATCGTTAATTGCTTCATCCGATAGACTTCTCTCTGGTCGCGTTGATCTCATCATGTACTGTTCTTCATCTTGTTTAGCTATGTCTTGATAGCTATTGTTAAATTAGATCCTCGTCACATCATCGATTGTTTCACCTGATGGTTCTTGTACCCTATCCACCTTGTCGATTTCTTTGAGTATATTGATCGCAAAGTTTTATCGTGTTAATTGATAATCCTTACTGTAACGATAATATTTGATCTGCGGAATCATCTTAATTTACACCAATGCCAATCGTTCCTTTGTCCGATTGCGACGCAATCTTCTCCACTTTCGTGATCTTCTCGTTCTCTCTCTTCCTTGGACGCATCAAAATCTTTGTTGGTGGTGGATAAGATGGCTGATCAACTAGCTGTCCTTCTTGCTCTTTCGTAAACTTCTCCTTCCGATCTGTAATTGCTTCATAAGCCAGAGTCTGCCACTCATTATACCAACGCTACCCCACCGAAACATATCCAGGTGATCGGGATATCATTTCCGCAACCATCCACTAACCTTTCGGAGAATTGTGATATAATTTTACTTCTCGATCACTAAGATTAGTTAGCTACAAACATTTTATCGTTTTTCGGTCCTGTCGTAACGGTTGGTATCCATCATGAGTCTTGTCTCACCCAAAGCTTAGATTTCGGTGCACCAGTACCGATTCGTATTTCCGTCTATCCGCTCACTGGGACCACACATGTTGATCGTCGATCGTGATCGGCTGCCTGTTCGATTGGTATGGAGGTCTTTGTCCAGCCAACTGAATTTTAACTTCATCAGGCAGAAAAGTGTTCCATCTGCCATATCTAGACGAATATCAGCCGGACCATAAATCCATACATAAAATCACTTCTTGCACAACTTGATCGCCCACCCAAGCATAAAAATAATACACAAGTGATACATCCAATGTGATTTTTATCTTGGTTCGTCCTTCGTTCATATAGGTGTTCTCATCGATTCCCGCGGCTAACTCTTTTTGGAGCTGAGACGCTTGCTGGATCATCGTTTGAGAGCTATGGAACGAGTTCAGCTCGGCCTCCAGTCCCTCTATTTTAACCATGAAGTTCTGTACAGCCTCTTCATGCTGGTCTTTTCAGTACTTTATCCGGGATCAAGACTTCTCAACTTCGAGGGAGTTGTCCTCCATTGGGCGAGCGCTTTCCGGTACTCGCCGATAGTCAACTGATCCACCTCGTGCATAAACCAGATTCTTGACCCAGGACCGTATTCGGGGCGCATGGGCTCCCTCAAACTTCACAATGTCGTCCACACGGTGTTGTAAGTCTTCGGCCCGACAGTATTTCAGCCTAATAGGCCCATTAAAGAAACCTATGCTCTTCAACGAGGGCCTCCATGGACTGGGCTCCTTGCCGCCATACGTTCAGCTTCCCATGCTTGAGCGACCTCCGAATAATCAGGTAGTTCCCCTATAAGGTCCACGATCGGAGCAACCTCGTCAGGATCAGGTCCAAGCAGTGCGGGATCGGTCCAACTGTCATGAGCTTGGGTCCGTTAGAAGCATTAGGAGAGGTCATTGGTGTATAAAAGGCGTATGAGTTAGTGAACACAACTATTTGGCAGATACATGACACCTACTATTATGCCAAGGGTGCAGGACAAGAGTGCACGGGGTATTGCAGAAGTTTTGAAGATTAGCGCGCAGGGGGCAGTTGTGGAGAAGTGCCAAGAGAAGCGGGGCTCCTCAAGGATACAATAATACAGGACAAAAAAACCAGTTCACTCCCTCGAGTAAATGACTATGATTAGGCCTCGCAAGCTATCAAGGTTCAGATGAGTGTCACCAAGGACAGGGGTGCCGGTCACCGAGGACAGGGTTTCCAGTCAACGGGGACTGGGGTCCCGATCACCGGGGACAGGTGTGGTTAAGTCGATTAAAGAATTTTGACTAAGTCCATTTATCGGGACTTTTCTCGACAACGGTTGGATCCTTTCCCATAACGGCGGGATTCCTTTCCCATAACGGCTAAATCCCTTTCCCATAACGCTTAGATCTATTTTCCAAAACGGTCGAATTCCTCTCTTATAATGGTTGGATCCCTGTCTTGCTAACGGTCGGCTCCCTTTAAGTCACTTACTAAAATGACTTATTGGGTGTGGTGAAGTCGATCTTCATTCATAGACGATTAAATGGAAAAGTAACGTTGAACCAAGATCGTGTTTGCTTGTTCAATAAAATGAATGAAGAAGGGATCAATGGTATCGAAGACGATGATGATATGAATCGACACATACTTAAGGTGAAGTTCATACATGGTATTAATCACATTTCCCAATTATATAGGATTTATTATGGAAAAGATCATATACTTGATTCCAGTATCGGTTGATTCAATTGGATGGATTGGTTTTGGACGGATTATACGTAATGTGAAATAGTGAAATTTCGTAAAGTGTGGATCGCGTCTGTGGGTTGAATACGTATCATTATACTGTTAAGGTATGCAACCTGGAGAGAAATAAAAGCTACATGGTGGATAATTAAGAAACGGGAACGTAGAGTTGAAAGGAGGTCCGAAGCAAAAAGCTATCATAGTAACAGCCGAGAGGAATTCACGAGTGACCGACATTAGTGCACCCGCCAAATTACAAAGGCTAGCGATGGGAAAAGGAAGTGATGATGTCCGATTGTCTGTGTAAGTACGGGCATCTTGATGATACGCTAGGATGGTTTTAAAATGGGAGACGTCATGTGACAAAGCCAGCCAGAAAAAAATGACTTTGTGGCGCAAGGAAATAAGTCGAAGAAAAATTTTATAATAAAAAAGTGAATAAATTTATAAAAAGATATTGTGACACCTAATTTAAAAAATTAGGTACTTTTTATCCCGAAGTTACAAAGTCATTTTGCCGAGTTCCTTGTGTAGGTTTTCGAGGTTTCTTAGATAAAATTTCTGTAGATAAAATTTCAATATTTGAAACAAAAAACGACCATGTGACAAAAATTAAGAATTAGTCAGGAAACGTCCGCGAAAAACGTGAATGGATCTTCAAAGAAGTCCAGGTGCCATTCAAGACGAAAAGAAAGAAGCTGAGACTTGTCGCGAGCAAACGCAGCCGTGCGAGGGTGTGTCAGAGTCTTAAATAATTGTGGGAAATGTAGACAAATTAATGACACACAGCGACGGGAAAGCTCCATGAACGGAAGAGCGAAAAGATTGTAAATGGCATCGTCGCGGTTGACCCAAAGCGTCCGAAGAACACAGCATAGAACGATGTGGAAGAGCCGAAGAGGTAGCAACGCCCCATAAGTATGGCGCTGTAATGACGGAACGGAGAGCACGTGAAGAACTCGAATATGAATCCATAGAATCGAAGTTCGAAAAATCCGGTGAAAAGGTGACAAAAATAACTGCCAAAGACGACTAGCCAGGAAACAGCCGCTGAAGAGATGGTGAGCAGTTTCAGGGGCATTACAAACATGGAAACAGTGAATATCCGGAGTAAGCCAGCCATATTTATAGCGAAGCCCAAGCCATTATGGTGGAGACGAAAAAAAAGATCCTTTAAAGCTGGAAGAATGTCATGTTGTAAGGCGCGTTTCGTACGCCAAAAAGGGTCTGATAATGTCACTCCATCAGCGTCTAGGCGCGACAGTGGTAGATCTGGGGGAGCCGAAGAGTCAAGTAAGCCACGAATATCCGAGTTAGGAACATCACAGATATCAATCCCGTCAAGACTCTAGATATGAAGCGCAGCAACCATATCGTTAGGGGGAAGAGGGTAAATAGCGAGCGTACTATAGTGGGCCGGAATCGCCAATCGGGGAGCCAAAGAGCGAACAAACGAAGTCATGGAACTACCAGTCTTGATTGAGGACCCAGTAAGCGCCTCGCGAAGTGTATGTTCATCTGGGAGAGATCCGAAACAGCAGCAAAAAGTCGACATTCGGACAACCCCTTGATGACGCAGAAAATTACATGCCTTACGATGAAGTGTGGCAAGAGGTCGTTTTCCACCGGTGAACCTTAGAAACGTATTGATCCATATGGGCCATGTCAGCTTCGTCCATGTCAGCTTCGTAAGTACTGGATTGATATTCAGCAGGCGGGAAAGAACCTTATTGCCCCAAGTAGCCAAAGCAGCCCGCCAATAAAGTGGGACATGATCCCAACGGGAAGAGTGTGCTCCAAGCGATAAGTTGACGTAAAGTAAGTCAAGACCAAAACCTTGACCTCGAAAATCCACGTTAAAACAGACTAAAGCAGAATAAATCACTTAAAGCGCGATGAAAAATCTGAGCGACAATGGCGAATTAGTTGCCGTATCAAGTTGACGTGCAATAACTTTACGGAGGCGGCAACAGAATGCAAATTCAACCCTCCAGAATCGGAAGCCACCGCATGCCAAATGCTGGGAAAGGTGCCACGGACCGGCGAACCTTCGACGTGAGCCGACGGAAGGTTGTTTATGAAGTTCCGGATCAAGGGATTAAACTTAAGTAAGTAGAGACGTGACACAGCTTGAGTACCTAAAAAATACCATAGAGTCGAAAGTACCATAGTTTTTAGCAGCAAAACGCGGCCTCGTGAAGTCCGGGCCCGCCAGCGCCAAACAACACATAATTTTTGGAAACGTACAAGCAGGTGGTGGAGTTGAGAAGTGGGACTACAAGCCGGGCCGACCGCAAGACCCAAAAGTGTAGTACGTTCGGAGTTGTTTTTAACGCCCGTACGCCACACGTCGAAAGGCGTAAACGAAGGTGGTCGTCAGCAGTAGTCCAGAGGCGAAATGGAAAGATGACCGTCTTGGCAGCATTAAGCCGCATCCCCGCAGAAATCGTGGACACGAGCGAGAACAGCCAAAATATGGTATAGATTTTTGACCAAGCCAGTGAAATCATCAGCAAAACTAAGCAGATGGTGTGACGTCCTCCGAAGCTTAATAGAAAAATAGTCATTATCTGTGCGAAGATCACACAATAGTGGTTCTATGAAGAGCACAAAAAGACCAGGAGAAAGAGAATCACTTTGCAGAACCCCAGCTCCCAAACTAAAGAAGTCCGACCGAGAATGTTAATCACAACCTGCACCAGGGTACCCTTTAAAAAGGTACGAACCCAATGCCAAAAATTCGCCCCAAAACCCCAGTGTAAGAGAACTTGGTCGAGTGCCTGCCAGGTAACACTGTCAAATGCCTTAGCAAAATAAAGGCAAATGGCGCCGGCAGGATCACGAGAGGGTGTGCGTTTGCAGAGATCTTGCAAGCTAAGATGTATTGAAGAGCGTGGCGAATACCCCTCCCAGGCACAAATCAAAGTGTTCCACACCAAGTAGGGAAGGTAAAACATGAATAAGACGATGAACCAAAACCTTGGGTTCAAGCTTGGCATCTTGGTTTGATAAAGCCAATGGACGATAATTTTGGGATCTGACCGAGAACCTTATCTTAACAAAAGCGAGAGGTAGGCACGGCGTTGGAACTTTGACATACGTCCCTTCCGGAATTGGGCAGCATAAACAAGTTCCATTACCAAAGCCCACTGGCTGGGGAAGAGTTGGTAATACTCAGCCGGCAATCCATCGGGACCCGGCGATTTCCCACGAGAAGTGTGCTTGATGGCGTCGTAGAAGTCGTTGGCAGTTAAAGGGGCATCAATCATGGCTGAGTGGGACGATGAAATTCTCCGGACGCTGTGGTTCAAAATTGACGTGAGTTTGGTTGGGTCAAATAGGACAGGTTCCACTGAGAGATCCCGGGAATCGGATTGGAAAAGCTTTCCCCAGTAAGCACGATGCGTGATCTTAATAATGTGAGGGTCCTTGGAAAGCCCTGTCGATGTGTCAACCGAAGAAGTTTTCAATTTAAGCTTAGCTGAAGCAGGAGCCCGGAAAAAGTGACGAGAAGATTGTTCGGAATCCCCAACGGCCAAGTCGAATGCGGAGAGAGAGTTCCGGTCTCGAAGAGCCGAGTTGAAATCGTCAAACGCTTGGCGAGAATCCTGAAGTCGACGCTCGTTTGCGTCGCTCGAGTCTAGTTCAAAAAGGCGTTCTGAGTTACGGAAGGCAGCCAAAAGCTGACGAAGATGGGAAGCAGTCGCACCTTTGCGCCGAAGATATTCCTTACTAATAAAGATGCGATCACGCCGTTTGTGTTCGTCCAAAATGCACCCTAGATCGTGATCCAGATTACGATCCGAGAATAAGGCAAGATCGTGATTGGATGGGGATTGCTAAGGTATTTGGAGTGGACCACATATCTAGATTTTAATTTTTTTAAGGAACGACATGTGGTAACGGATCCTGGACTACAGATAGGCAGAATTGTAGGTTTTGATATTTTATTGGCTAACACTAAACAGAGTTCATTTTTACTTCCAATACACGTGTCGACTTCTCTTCCGGGCTATATTATTTGTCCACCCGACGTCTCGAGGAATCCAACACACTACGCAATCATATTCCTGTATTTTTTGGACAGGATTGCAAGAACTCTCAAAACAACTCAAGTGCTATTGAACGCAGACACAACAAGTAAGGGAAAGGCAAAGCAAGTGCAGGACGGATCAAGTGGTCAGAATGAATATTTAAGCTTCTCTTTATTGGATAACCGTGATCGATTGGGAAGATCACACCAAGTAGTCGGTCTATCTTGTAAAGATTTCGCAAGATCACCAAACATGTTGCCACGTGTCAACTCTTGAGGAAAGAAATGGCTCTTAGAGATCCTGGTCATTTACTGGTTATGCGCTATTGTACACCTGTCCCCGGGGACAGGGTCCCTGTCACCGTGTGGTGGAGTGAGATTCGCAAGATTGCTGATGCGATTCCGACTCTCCACTGACGCCCGGACGACGACTAACGGAGGGGGTACCCCGATTTCGTGTGCAAATTCTTACGCTTCTTGTGTACCCGTCGCTTGGGCGAGTTGCACTCTTCTCGGTGGACTTGAGTCGATGTTGAACTTGATTGTGTTAGGGATAGGGGATCCAGAGCGAAGGGTTAAGGTTAGACAAGCAAAGCATACAAAAGTAAGATAAACAAACAAATTCGAATGCGCATTACACATGGCAGCTCTAAGCGCCCCCTCCAAGCTTCTCCGTCACCTCACCTGTTCCGTTTGGGATACCCTTTTGGCCCTTGAGGTCAGGTGAAGTGACTGCTCAAGCAACGCAAGTTGAATCTCAGGATAGTTGGCCAGGGTGTGAAGTAATTGTTAAGACTCAAGTGCGAACTTGTTTCGATCTACCCACCTGCTCCGGGAAAGGGATATATTTCCCCCCCCCGTTAATGACAGTCGTGTGGTAACATTCAAGTTCGAAAAGAACCCCAGGAATTATTTTGGCCTGTGAGTTCGTACCCATTCAAGACCCGCTACAGGAAGCGTTTTTTTACGGGGAAGAAGACAAAGGGGTCGAAAGACCAAGAAACCGTTAGCCACCGAACAGGTACATAGTACCAGGTGTATTGCTCTCGACCCAGTCGATCAAGCTCAAGAGACCCGGTCCCGAGTGAAGCATATCCACTCGTGGACCACCAATTCTAAGTATTATACAAGGACCAAGTTTATAAGTCTTCTGCGTCAATCGAGGAGCAAGACGAGCCAAGCCGACGGGTACACAAGGTGAGACCCAAAACTAACGTGATACGGTATCGAGGTACCCCCTCCGTAAGTCAATAGTCCGGCGTTGTGTATTTGTGGTTCTCTTACTCTGTTTGAGAATTCACTCCTCCACAGGGGGACGCTGGCGTTCTCGCGCTTTTACAGGTCTCTGGGCGCAATTTACGCCCGACAAGAAGGATTACAGTACCGTCGGCTGAGGCCCACCGGATTGTGGTAAAGTCGATTAGAGAATTTTGTCAAAGTCCATTTAATAATTTTCTCGATAAATCCGGAACCAAATTATCGGGACTTTTCTCGCCAACGGTTGGATCCCTTTCCCATAACGGCTGGATCACTTTCCCATAACGGCTGTATCCCTTTCTCATAACGGTTGGATCCCTTTACCCCATTAATTCACTTACTAAAATGATTTATTGGTTGTGGTGAAGTCGGTCTCAATTCATGGGCGATCGAATGGAAAAGTACCGTTGATCCAAGATCGTTTATTTGCTTGTTCAATAAAACGAATGAAGAAGGGATCAATGGTATCGAAGACGATGATGATATGGATTGAAACATACTTAAGGTGAAGATACATGGTGTAACGGGGCTAGAACGTACCGCTACTAGCTTACACGTGCGCTTGAGGAAGACTCAAGCCCAAGTATTAGGTATTAAGTAAATTTAACTTTGATTTTTATTTTGGTTTTAATTCGTACTAATTACGAAGATTTTAGTCGTAATAAATACGACAGTGTTCCCGCCTTTCGGGAACCACACAATTTCAGGTTGATTTATCATTGGTCCATATTGGGGACTTAAGGCCCAATAATTAACCAATAATAAATTACCACGCTGTGCCCGCTATTCGGGCCCAGCACCTGCCTACACATGTAATTGTTTATTTGTGTTAATGCTATATGTGCAATGTAGCCCATTACACATGGCATGGATCACATTTCCGAATTATATTGGATTATCATGGAATAGATCACCGTTTGGATTATACTGAATTCCAGTATCGGTTAATCCAATTGGATGGATTGAATTTGTACGGATTATACGTGAATGTGGAATAGTGGAATTGCGCAAAGTGTGGATCGCGATTGTGGAGAAGCGAAGGAGCAATATTTCGCGAAGTGTGGATCGCCCAATATTAAATGTGGTCACACCTTGTAGATCGTCATCGCGATCCGTGACCGCGATCCGTCATAGCGATCCGTCATAGCGATCCGACGATCGCGATCCGTCATAGCGATCCGTCGACCGCGATCCGTCATAGCGATCCGTCGACCGCGATCCGTCATAGCGATCCGTCGACCGCGATCCGTCATAGCGATCCGTGACCGCGATCCGTCATAGCGATCCGTGACCGCGATCCGTCATAGCGATCCGTCGACCGCGATCCGTCATAACGATCCGTCGACCGCGATCTGCCATAGCGATCCTCCGACCGCGATCTGTCGTCACGATCCGTCGACTGCGATCTGTCATAACGATCCTTCATCGCGATCCGTCATCGCGATCTGTCATAGCGATCCGACATAGCGATCCGACATATGTGGTCCACGCATTGAGATCTGATTTTTTCCGAAAGGGCAACACGTGGCAGTAGCTCCTAATGTACAGATAGGCATAATCGTAGGTTTTGGTATGTGATTGGTTAACATTAAAGAGAGTTCTATTTTACTTCTAAGACACGCAAGCTTCTTCTTCCGGGTGGGATAACTTTGGCCCCCCGACGACTCAAGAGCATCTGCGACGCTACGACACAAGTGATATCCCTAGATTGTTTGGACAGGGATTACAAGAACTCTCAAAACAAACAACCCCCCTGCGATTGGACGCAGCATAATAAGAAAAGGACAAGGTACAAGATCGCGAGACGGCTCAAGTGGTCAGAAGATCAAGTATATCAGGTGGATCAAGTATCTACATTTTTGGAATAGGCGATCCCAAGAGAGATCAGGGTGACTCGGATAAGCACCTACAAGAACCCTTCGACCGCGTAAAGATATCCGCACGGTCGACGCCCAACCTATCCCAAACACGGTTAAATTCAGCATCGACTCAAGTCCACCGAGAAGAGTGCTACCCGCCCTACCGACGGGTATACAAGGTGAGGAAGGAAAGTTGCACGCAAATGGAGTACCCCCTCCGATAGCAGAAATTTTGTGAACCCCTTTCCACCACAAGATCGTCGATCTACGAGACTTTCTTTTGCTAAAGACGCGAGCAATGCCCTACCGGGCCGACTTATACTCTCGGTATAATCCAGCGGAACTCCTACAAGATATTCCTTTCGGAGTTTAATGACAGGCATCATCCCAGTACGTGCAGGGACTTACGTAAAATTGTATACATCCCTTGTGCAATATAACTTCTGCTCTGTATTGGGTGATCCCTCTGTTTACTCCAGAAAGCCTTTTTAGCTCTCTGTCATTTCCACTGTCATTCATATACAAGTATCTAGTGAAAGGAAAGTCGATCTTCTACCTCTCTTGATGGATTAGAAGACTCGCGACCAAAGACTCGACGACCGGAAACTCGACGACCGAAAACTTGACGAGTGAAAGTATTCGATATAGTAAAGATATGTATGAAAAACTAATTTGCTCGATCTTACGTTAAACACATTAAATTACACATATGTATGTCAGCTACTTGCCCTCCGCTCATTGCGCGCGTCCATCCTTCATTGGCCAGCGCGTTGGCTGATATCATGGCCTATATCAACCACTTAGAAGGGCATCTCTAACTTCAAGGAGATGCGACGACAATATGTACTCCTAAAATGTAAAAAATATCGAAAGTTATTAGCTAATATAGTATGTGTGGATATTTTAGCGGAGATAATACTCGCATTGGCGCTTCATATTAGTGTCAATGTACTGTAACGGACTCACCCCGTCACAGTTAGTATGTCGGGGTGTCATAAACCCCTTGTCTGGGTATTTCGCATATGTGCTATTGCTAGTATGGATAATATCTCATTCACTTTAAATTGGGCGGTGGAGGTTCTGAATGATTGTAATGAAGGAATCTGCAAACCCAAAAATATTGCATAACCTCAAATCAAAAATCGCGCGAGACCGTGTCATGTGCCTTCAGCAATAAGATTTCTCGGCTATTCGATCTAGTTCGTGTTGCCGTTAGAAGCCAGCGGACGCAATAGATTATCAACCGATAGCGTTGCTCCAGTCAGGCTACAAAGTTGTCGCTAAGGTGTTGTTTCATATGGTACAAAAGTCGTAGGAATTCCTATCCTAGACACTCAACGAGGTTTCGTTCATGGAAGACAAATGTCCAAAACAGTCATGATGATGATGGACCCTCCTTCCGTAGCGGGATCTCCAAGAAGGAGGCTGGTGGCGTTTGTCCTTGCACCTATTGTGACGAGTACCGGTGCTAGTAGTGTTTGATAGTCCTTAATAAAATTCGTTGTTAAGACCGTTCGGCCCAGCCTCCTTATGTTGGGAGAGCGACGTGGTCGCCCGAACGGCCTCTGCCAACAAAAAAGTTTCATGAGTAGCTTATTTTGTCCATGCTTGGGATACGATCGTTGGCATGGTAGCAAAGTCGTGTAATGCTTGTTTGAGAGCTGTGGCCAGTACCGTGCTGTGAGTTTGACATAGAATTGACTGCCATTTGGATGCGAAATGATTTGCGATTGTGTCACTTCTTTTAACACTGGAATACCACATTCGGTTTCCAAGAACGAGGCTAAATACTTACCACACGATTCCTAAACTAGAACTGTAGGCAACAACCATACTGATGGCAACCTTCCTATCTATCTACACGAAGCAGAAGTAATGCAAATACCGGCTCAGCTAACGCTGCGGAACGGACCTAAGGTACTTAACAAGTACACGTAGTTATTTATGAGCCCGGGGTTACATACGGGCGCTACCAAGCACACGCTGGTGGCAACCTCGCCCTTATCGTCCTCCATCAAGCCAACAACGGAGTACGTTGGATCATCGTTACATGACCGATGTGCCCGATCCTGATCAATAGGAGCTGATGAATCTACAACAGCAAACAACGATCACGGTATTTTATTCGCAGCGCATCCGCATCTACATGAGTTCTCATGGAGCCTCCCACCCTCCATCAACAAAATTCACGCTTTCAAGGCGCTACAACGCAACAGTTCCATCGCGCCAAACGAAAGCTACCCATTCAGCACTTACAGCGGTAATCATCAGGCTACAACACCGAAGCGGCTTACAAGACGGCAACCTTTTCCTGATGTCGCTGTCACCGACACATCTCTAGGAACATGGACACACTCTCACGGAATACTAAGTCTGGGTATGCTACAGCTACTCTGTAGCATATTCAGACCTGGTAAGTGTGTTCGTGTTCCTAGAGATGTGTCGGTGACAGCAACATCAGGAAGTGGATGCCGTCTGGTGAGCCATTTCGGTTCATGTCGCGTCCCGGGAAGTACAAATTCAACTGATGAGTAGTTATCTGTCCTTCCTGGATCTGTACTTCCATATTCAACTACCCATCAGTTAAATCTGTACTTCCCAAGACGCGACATGAACTTGACATGCAAAAGGCATATGGCCTTCGCCGGATAACACAAGGACTCCTATATATCCTCTGGGACTGCGACGGTGCGTATAGTTCTTGGGCATAATCATCAATCACACAGTGGACGCGATCGGAGGCAAATGGTCTTGTACTAACAGGCAGCATTATCGCGTTGAGGGCTGTGGACTTTTCAGAAAAATTGTAAACCATAACGGTAGATAGACAGTCTATTTAAAAAAAATCTTTACACCAAAAACACCCGTGCAACGACGTCTGAGAACCGGCTTGAGCTACATGTTCTTCTCACAAACAATGGCAGCTGGCATGGTGAACCCATGGTAGGCGACTTATTGGTATTGCAATTTACTACTATCAGATGATGCGCCATGGTATTGAGCAAGCACCTTCAAGCTTTTGGCACTTAGTTACACTGAGCAAACGACATTGCGCATACATTCAGACGATCCTATCTGAAGGACAAGAGATGCACATCACCTTGATCTACGACGACTTGCCAACTTTGTAAAGGTACCGCCGTCAAACGTGTCTCGACTAGAGCCTTTTTGCAGCCGGTCAGATGGCGGAGTGGCGTGCTTTGCCCACAAACGGGCATCAAACTTTAAAACGAGCACTGGCCACTTTTGAGTCTCTCCTTCTGCAAACTCTCTCGGTCTACATACACTTGATCATCATTTCTCAACTTCACATCAATTGCAAAGGCGTCGTCTTTCGAATTCGCAAGTGCTCGCTCACTTCGTCTATCTACTAAGTCTCCATGTTACGCCACGACAGTGTCCTGACGGTCATGCCATCGACCATGTACGACACCGAGGACCTGGTGCTGCTGTCGAATAGCTCCGATAACGTATTCAACAAAGAAAACACATCAACTATCGACATTGAAACCAACTTGATCGACCAGCGAAAGAAGGCCCAAGTCAATGACGACACCGATTCGGAGACCTCGTCCAACTCCATTGATGGCCCAAGGACCGACATTGGCAAGGAGATCGATGCAATTGCCATGAAGGAGGCCGAACGCAGATTGACTTGTAGAACCTCCGTTGCCACCGATATCTCCTCCATTGATGGTGACGTCAATGTCGAAGTCAAGGACGAGGAGCAACACGAACTCGATGTGCAATTGTTACACGACATCGCCCACAACATGATTGGCCGCAACATACCGTTCGAGACACCGTTCGGTACCAAGGCTCAGTGCTACGCGGACTATACAGCCAGTGGCAAGGCCATCGAGAGTATTGAGACTTTCATCCGCAATGAGGTTATGCCCACATACGGCAACACGCACACCACGACGTCAGTCACTGGTCTCCAAACTACCTCATTTCGAGAGGAGGCCCGTGAGATCATTGGCAAGGCAGTGAACGCCCGTCTCTACGGCAGCGGAGCTCGTGATGTTGTCATCTTCAGTGGTCAAGGTTGTACCAGCGCCATTAACAAATTCATTACTGCTCTTGGTCTTCACACAATGCGACGTTATCATCGTCCACACAAGCGGCCGGTCGTCTTTACGTGCCCTTTTTCACATCATTCGAACTTGCTCCCGTGGCGTGAGCTATACGCTGTCGATGTCGTCGAGATCCCTGAAGCCAAGACCGGTGGCCTGGACCTGAATGAGCTTGAGTATCAACTTCAGAAATATCAGGGTCGTGATCTCAAGATTGGCACATTCGCCGCTGCATCCAACCTGACGGGTATGTTTGCTGACGTCGACAAGGTGTCGAAGCTGCTGCACAAGTATGGAGCACTTTCTTGCTGGGATTATGCCACGTGCGCTCCCTACGTTGAAATCGACATGAACCCCAAGGATCATGGTGCGTACAAGGACGCCGTGTTCTTCTCCGGTCACAAATTTGTGGGTGGTCCCGGGTCTCCCGGTGTATTGATTGTCAAGAAGAACTTGATGAACAACGAGGTGCCGACGATGCCTGGTGGTGGCACCGTGTTGTTCGTAACCGAGAAAGCTCATAGCTACCTGGCCAGCAACGTGGAGCGTGAAGAGGGCGGAACCCCCGACATTATCGGTAGCATTCGGCTTGGTCTCGCGTTCGAGATGAAACAGCGCGTGGGCACCAAGCACATCATGGACCTTGAGCGCCAACACGTGCGCCATGTCCGCGAAGTACTGGGTCGGAATGACCATATTATTCTGCTTGGCCACGAAAATGTGGACCAGCTACCGATCTTTTCGTTTCTGGTCCGCTTCGGTGACCGCTTCCTACACCACAACTTTGTGTGCGCGTTGTTGAACGATCTATTCGGCATCCAGGCACGTGGGGGCTGCCAATGTGCTGGTCCATTTGGTGCTCGTCTGCTCGGTCTTAGCCGCGAACACATCATTGCTCTGGGTCATGCTGTGGTCGCCAAAGACGAGGTTCTAAAGCCGGGTGTCTCCCGCGTGAGCTTCCCGTATTTCGCCGACGATGACGAGGTAGAGTACATTCTGGAGGCAGTGAACTTTGTGGCCGACCACGGCTGGAAGTTGTTGCCGCAGTACGAGTACAACCCTCACAACGGAGCGTGGTGTCATGTTTCGCGGGCCACGGTTCTCTTCCCGTCCAGAAAGTTCCTGGCAAGCATGCAACTCGACGACGTGGAGATGGTCCGCCAGTCTGTGTGTGCTGCTCCTATTCACAACATTGCTGCTCACCGTCGCGAGAACATGAAGCAGGCTGCTGTTTTGGCGAACGCCTGCATGGAGGACGCCGTGTCGATCGAAGAATTTTCCGAAGGTGCAAAGCTGGTGACTAGCCACGAGTGGTTGCGCTGGTTTGTGTATCCGTATGAAGCTGTTGCCGCCTACAAGGAAAAGGGCGAGAAACCGACGCTCCCGGAGAAAATCGAGGGGCCGTGCCAACCGTATCGCTATTTGGATGGATCAATCCACAATGTTTGGGAAGGCGTGCCGTCCCTGGGAAAGATGAAGCGGAGTCTATTGGGACGTTTCGTGCTTAAGATGTTCATGCAGGCCGAGCTAGACGCCATGAAGGACAAGAAGACTGACGACGAGAAGAGCGTGTTGAAGGAGGAAGAAGCCATTTGTGTCGTCTTTGCCGGCTCGGAGACGTGTCAGTAGTTGAAGAGTGTGATTTAAAGTCGAGGGTGGGGAACAATTGAAAAGTCTTTTGCAGTGTTTAGAAGTACCTTGTATAGTGTTTCGCGTATGATGATGAAATGAAGCTCATTGAGATTTCTGCTGCGAGGCTCAATGAGAAGTTTACTTCAACACCAAGATGCAACAGTGTCCATCTCGGTGTTGAAGTAAACTTTTCATGTCTCTATACGTCAGTCAACTTCAATACAGCAGCCATATGGCACCACCATCAGATTCTCCATTCCCTTATGTTCGGCACTATCCAGAAGGGGGACGATCGACGATCCAGAGTAATGGCCCGAGTCAATAAGCAGCACCTGAACAAAGCTCGCCTGCAATGTTAACGTAAATAATCTTAGACAATCGAAAGAGCTGTCCACTTGTAAGCAAAAATCGTGTACGTTATTTATAAATTCTAGCTATTGTGCTCCACGCACGAATGCTGTTTCTAGTTTGCTCGTCCGCCTCTTGCTTTTGGCGGGAAGTCCTCCATCATGGGTTCCCTCCTCTTAGAGACGTGATTATGTCCGTTCCGATTCCGACCGGAGCTGCATGTCAGGGATCAGTCAAGCTGGCCCGTCTGAGACAGCAGGTTTGATACCCGGCTCACTTTCAAGGCACCACCTGCTCCCTGCATGTGCTCGGGTTGGAAAACAAATGTCATTACACTGTTATCCGCAAAATCTTCACCCTACCGAAGTTCGACATACAAAGTCCTATGCAATCTATTGACGTCGGCGTAGTGTGATCCTAGAATGACTGATATTTCGAGTAACATGTCTTGGGAAAACCCCTCAATATACAGAGTTATCACCACAATGACTTTAGCTTTTACATCGCAGGCGTTGGTCGGAAGATCATAGAATTGGTTATCATTCCGATGCTTTCAAAGACAGATGAAAAAAGTGATCAGGTTTGGTCAAATGGCTTCAACGTGTCTTGTCTAGAGCCTTTGCTGTGGCTTCAAGAAGCCGGTCAGATAACGGAATGGCGTGATTTACAAACGAATCTTAAACATCAAAACGAGTTTTGGCCACTTTTTTAAAAGAGGTTCAGGTACATGGAGTTACAAAACTAAATGCTAGATCTTCTGGTTTAGTGGTTACCTCAGTCTTCTACCATGATACGATCGTCCCCCTCCTCGGTTTCCCATTCTGCTGGATGGATACGTCGGACGTCACGAGAAGCACTTTTCTCAAGACACGTGAGTAGGTCCGTTGACAAGGTGCGGTGCTAGTTCCACCATGGAGGGGGGCTTCCCATCCAAGGAGAAGGGGACCAATTTCCTGGCTCTCGGAGGTCTCCGTCTAAGGTTTGGCCACTTTTGAGTCTCTACTTCTGCAGACCCTCTCGATCTACATACACTTGATCATCACTTCTCAACTTCACATTCAATTGCAAAGACGTCGTATTTCGCATTCGCAAGTGCTCGCTCACTTCGTCGATCTACGAAGTCTCCCTGTTGCGTCACGACAGTGTCCTGACGATCATGCCATCGACCATGTACGAGACCGAGGACCTGGTGCTGCTGTCGAACAGCTCCGATAACGTATTCAACAAAGAAACAACATCGCCTATCGACATGAAAGCTAACTTGATCGACCAGGCCCAAGTCAATGACGACACCGATTCGGAGACCTCGTCCAACTCCATTGATGGCCCAAGGACCGACATTGGCAAGGAGATCGATGCAATTGCCATGAAGGAGGCCGAACGCAGATTGACTTGTAGAACCTCCGTTGCCACTGATATCTCCTCCATTGATGGTGACGTCGATATTGAAGTCAAGGACGAGGAGCAACACGAACTCGATGGGGAATTGTTACACGACATTGCCCACAACATGATTGGCCGCAACATACCGTTCGAGACACCGTTCGGTACCAAGGCTCAGTGCTACGCGGACTATACAGCCAGTGGCAAGGCCATCGAGAGTATTGAGACTTTCATCCGCAATGAGGTTATGCCCACATACGGCAACACGCACACCACGACGTCAGTCACTGGTCTCCAAACTACCTCTTTTCGAGAGGAGGCCCGTGAGATCATTGGCAAGGCAGTGAACGCCCGTCTCTACGGCAGCGGAGCTCGTGATGTTGTCATCTTCAGTGGTCAAGGTTGTACCAGCGCCATTAACAAATTCATTACTGCTCTTGGTCTTCACACAATGCGACGTTATCATCGTCCACACAAGCGGCCGGTCGTCTTTACGTGCCCTTTTTCACATCATTCGAACTTGCTCCCGTGGCGTGAGCTATACGCTGTCGATGTCGTCGAGATCCCTGAAGCCAAGACCGGTGGCCTGGACCTGAATGAGCTTGAGTATCAACTTCAGAAATATCAGGGTCGTGATCTCAAGATTGGCACATTCGCCGCTGCATCCAACCTGACGGGTATGTTTGCTGACGTCGACAAGGTGTCGAAGCTGCTGCACAAGTATGGAGCACTTTCTTGCTGGGATTATGCCACGTGCGCTCCCTACGTTGAAATCGACATGAACCCCAAGGATCATGGTGCGTACAAGGACGCCGTGTTCTTCTCCGGTCACAAATTTGTGGGTGGTCCCGGGTCTCCCGGTGTATTGATTGTCAAGAAGAACTTGATGAACAACGAGGTGCCGACGATGCCTGGCGGTGGCACCGTGTTGTTCGTAACCGAGAAAGCTCATAGCTACCTGGCCAGCAACGTGGAGCGTGAAGAGGGCGGAACCCCCGACATTATCGGTAGCATTCGGCTTGGTCTCGCGTTCGAGATGAAACAGCGCGTGGGCACCAAGCACATCATGGACCTTGAGCGCCAACACGTGCGCCATGTCCGCGAGGTACTGGGTCGGAACGACCATATTATTCTGCTTGGCCACGAAAATGTGGACCAGCTACCGATCTTTTCGTTTCTGGTCCGCTTCGGTGACCGCTTCCTACACCACAACTTTGTGTGCGCGTTGTTGAACGATCTATTCGGCATCCAGGCACGTGGGGGCTGCCAATGTGCTGGTCCATTTGGTGCTCGTCTGCTCGGTCTTAGCCGCGAACACATCATTGCTCTGGGTCATGCTGTGGTCGCCAAAGACGAGGTTCTAAAGCCGGGTGTCTCCCGCGTGAGCTTCCCGTATTTCGCCGACGATGACGAGGTAGAGTACATTCTGGAGGCAGTGAACTTTGTGGCCGACCACGGCTGGAAGTTGTTGCCGCAGTACGAGTACAACCCTCACAACGGAGCGTGGTGTCATGTTTCGCGGGCCACGGTTCTCTTCCCGTCCAGAAAGTTCCTGGCAAGCATGCAACTCGACGACGTGGAGATGGTCCGCCAGTCTGTGTGTGCTGCTCCTATTCACAACATTGCTGCTCACCGTCGCGAGAACATGAAGCAGGCTGCTGTTTTGGCGAACGCCTGCATGGAGGACGCCGTGTCGATCGAAGAATTTTCCGAAGGTGCGAAGCTGGTGACAAGCCACGAGTGGTTGCGCTGGTTTGTGTATCCGTATGAAGCTGTTGCCGCCTACAAGGAAAAGGGCGAGAAACCGACGCTCCCGGAGAAAATCGAGGGGCCGTGCCAACCGCATCGCTATTTGGATGGATCAGTCCACAATGTTTGGGAAGGCGTGCCGTCCCTGGGAAAGATGAAGCGGAGTCTATTGGGACGTTTCGTGCTTAAGATGTTCATGCAGGCCGAGTCTAGACGCCATGAAGGACAAGAAGACTGACGACGAGAAGAGCGTGTTGAAGGAGGAGGAAGCCATTTGTGTCGTCTTTGCCGGCTCGGAGACGTGTCAGTAGTTGAAGAGTGTGATTTAAAGTCGAGGGTGGGGAACAATTGAAAAGTCTTTTGCAGTGTTTAGAAGTACCTTGGATAGTGTTTCGCGTATGATGATGAAATGAAGCTCATTGAGATTTCTGCTGCGAGGCTCAATGAGAAGTTTACTTCAACACCAAGATGCAACAGTGTCCATCTCGGTGTTGAAGTAAACTTTTCATGTCTCCATACGTCAGTCAACTTCAATACAGCAGCCATATGGCACCACCATCAGATTCTCCATTCCCTTATGTTCGGCACCACCAGGGAAGTCCCCAATTGTGTGGCTTAGGTAATAAGTGGGAGGCCTTCTCTCCACTGCGTGCACCACGGGAGGCTGCGCAGCGTGCGAACCTGACGGAGAGTAATAGAAACGAAGTCATGAAGTGTGGGGCACGTCGACAATGCATTAAATATTCTCCACCCAAGCATTAACAAGCATCAGCCCTTCTCCGTTGTCACCTCTTAGTCGCCGGCCCATCTGCCGAGCGCGACTTCCGGTCCCACCCCCTAGAACGTGATGATGTCCGTTCCAATTCCGACCAGAGCTGTTGAGCCAGGCTGACCCGTCTGTTGGTACCCGGCTCATCTTCCAGGTGCCTTGCATTTGGTCATTTGGTCCCACATATTCTAAATTAAATACAGAATCCAACAGACAGTCTGATCATTCCATAAATCTTTGCTCGTGGAAGCAGTTCCTAGGTATAAAGTGTAATAGGGCAGACAGAGGCTTGAGTAAAGACTTGTTTACTTGATAAGTACTCGAGAGGGGGGAGAATGAATTTGAAGCTCCTGGAGTCCTATTTTTTCACCTTTTGGCGTATACCTTGGACCTAGGCACACATGCCGACTAAACGACATTGTGTTGGAAGTTTGATGTTGAAGATATTGAGTTCGATTAGCGCCAGCCGTCAATCCGGTCAGAAATAGTCAGTGCAAGATGGTAGCAGACAAGTTGGCCAGCAGCCATCTGTCGTTGAGGCGGTTGGAGCACAGACATTTAGGAGAACGAGTGGCTAGGAGGCAGACAGAAGAGATAACTAGTATGTATCAATACAGAACCTTATTGTTAGCCTACCGCTTCCTTGACGCAACACGCATCTTGCCTACAGGTTATGAGCCCAATGGCCTGAGCCACCGAACCGACTACGAAGACATAAGGGGGTGTCCCGCGAGCCTCGCCTGGACGCGGCTCGCCAGCGCGTGCGCCCATCGCACCCGCAGTCGTCAACGATGGACCCACTCGCGAGAGCGGGCAGCGAGACGATAAGATCCTCGCCGCGCTCGCCGCACTCACCGATCGACTGGCGAGCCTCGAGACGTCGCAGAGAGTGCGAGACGAAGAGGCGCGCATGCTCGGGGCCGTGAGGAGCGGCCTGTTCGCCTCGAAACTCGGCGCCAACATGCGCGGTCGACTGATGACGATTGACGCGATCGGAGACTCGGAGGAGAAGGCACCGGCGCCGAGCGAGTACTGTGGTGGAGTGGGTTCTTAAAATTGTGTGATGAGACCCCAAACCACTCACTGTGCCGGACTGCCGACTGTCGGAGGGGGTACCCCGATGCCACGTATGAACCTTCTCTTACCTTGTGTACCCGTCGGCTGGCGGGTTGCACTCTTCGGAGGACTTGGTGAAGATGTCGACGTCTGCCTTGAGGGAGGTAGACCTGGGGGGCCTCGAGTGGATATGCTTCACTCGGTGGGCCGGTAGGTGGCCACTCGATCGACCTTGTCGAGAGTGGACTTAGAGCCAAATTCTTCAGGGGCGCTTGTCGTCCCTGGCCTTTTCCTTCTTGTTTCAGGGGTATCAACCACCTGACCTTTACTTTGCTCACGGACCTTTGTAAGGTAAGGGAGGCCACTTACGATAGCGGGTCTTGGGGGGTGTTGCTACTCGAACGAGCTCACGGGCCAAATATATCCTGGAGCTCTATTCGCACTTGAACTTCGCTACACAACTGTCTTCGACGGGGGGGACAAAATATATCCCTTCCCGGAACAGTGAGTAACTTAGAACAAGTCCTTCTTGGGTGACGGAGTCGTGCCACGTAGATCGCAAATTGAGTAGTATTTAATATATTCCTATCCTTTTAACTCCTTTACTCTATCCTTGCCTGAAGATCTGATTCCTTGCGTCGACTAGTCTGATCCTTGTATTAACTGGTCCGGAGTGGCCAAACTCCGAGGGGCCGAGGTCGACTGATGAGGGAGCCAGGTCTACCAATGAGGGACCGGGTCGACCAACGAGGGGCCGAGGTCGACCGATGAGGGACCGGGTCGACTAATGAGGGACTCGGTCCACCTTCCAAAAGACTTGCTACCGTCCGCTAGTTCTCATGGCTTTGCATTACTTCGAAGCGGTTATGGCTTGTCTTCTTGCGCTCGAAGTCCCGGAGTAAGGCTCCGCAATTCAGATCCACTTCGTCCACCCACGAGGGGTCAGGGTTTCCCTTCCATTGCACGAGGAATTCTCGTTGTTGCCTCCCATACCGAGTCTTCTTGCCTGTACGACTCTCTAAAATTTCTTCGACTTCATACTCGCCCTCTTACAATTCCCGCACCCAGCTGTCTTCTGGTAGCAGACATTCGTCGAAGTCGACTCGATCCGTTCCATCCACTTTCAGCTCGCTATAGGTCGATCGGGGAACTCTCTGACGGGCTTGAGCTTGGAGATGTGAACGTTAGGGAATAGTCTGTATTCTGTATTCTGTACCTCGTAACTCCAGACGTACCGCATGATCTCCGACTAACTCCTGGACTCGGAACGATCCATGCCATAGGTGGGCCAATTTCTTGGCATACCCCTCCTTCACTCGGTCTAAGTATAGCCATACCCGGGCCCCTGGCTGAATTTCGTGGCCGACTACCCCTTCATTTTGCGCTTGCACCCGAGCCTGACTAGCCGCCCGTAAATTCTCGTTGACTTGGTCTCTTTCTCGCTGATAGTGACTCTGAATCCGATATCTCCATCTCCAAGGTCCTGATTCTTGACGTCGAGTGTTCACCAGTCTCAAGAGTGGTCCTAGCATCCCATCCATGTACCAGATAGAACGGTGTTTCCTCTCGTACTCTGTCTTGAGCCGTGTTTAACGCGAACGTTAATCGTTCCGCGTATTCATCCCAGTCTCGCTGACCTACGTCGGCTACGTACATCTTGAGCGATCTTGTTAGAGTCTGGAGCATTCTCTCCGCAGTGCCGTTCGCTTGAGGTCGGTAGGCCATGGTCGCTCTCTGACGTTGACCCACCATACGACTGAACGCTCGGAAGAAGTCCGACATAAACCCCGGTTACCGATCGTGACGGATCATCTCACTGGCACCAAAACGGCGGAAAACGCATTCTTCATATCCCTCAGCTACTGTCTGGGTGTCCGTGACGCACTTGCTTTAGCCATCACATAACCTGTGAACAGGTCGACCCAGATCAGTAGTTCCGTATTACCTTTATGTGACTTGGGGAGAGATGATATGTGGTCCATCGCGATAATTTGGAAGGGGTACGTCGCTTCACATTCCCCAGAGACTTCCCTTGTAAAGTGGGTCTCCCTTTCCCAGTCTCACAATCCATGCACTGACCCACATATTTCTGAACACTCCGGAACAGACCCCTCCAATGACAGTATTGTCTGATCCGATGATAATTACGCCCGATTCCCTGATGGCCACCTTCCAAACTCTTATGATAGTGATGGAGGACGTCGGCTTGGAGACTCTCAGGTATCACCAATCTGGCAGTTATGTCTCGGTCGTCTCCCTTGGTCCTCTGGCCGGGGCAATACACCAGCAGTCCTTCTTCACTTATCTCGTAATCTTCCGACATTTTGCTGCAAGTTCGGGCCAATTCCACTGACAAGTCCTTCCAGTATCCATTCAAATATGCCTTCAACTCGCGTACCCAGCTCTCCTCTTCTTGCGCATCTCGGATCCTTTCCATCCGGAGTTGTTGTACCACATCTTCTTGTATGACCTCTCCAGATATTCTGACGGGAAACCGTGATCTCGTCACCGCAGATACCTTGACCGACTGGCCTCGGTCTCTAGGGACTAACACCTCTGGCAGCCGATTGATTGTTTCTAGACCCGACCACTCTCCTCTTGGTATCGACTCGACCCCTTGCTGCTGATGTAAAGCCGCACTGGCCAATTGGTCTACGCTCTGATTCCAGTCTCGTTTCACATGTATACTGCGTGGGTGGACCACGACTGGAGCTTACTCAACGCCTTGGCCCGCAACGGGGAAAAACCTGAAGCTTTGCATTCAATCTCTCCACGCATCTGTCTTATAACCAGATTGGAGTCTCCACAAATAATCAAACGCCGTCGCTCCATTGGCTCCAACAGGTCAAAACCCAGTAACATGCCCTCATATTCAGCTTCATTCACCGTAGACTTGTCGAGATATTTCGACGCAGCTGCGACTATAGTCCATGCAGGGAGTCTCCACACAATAGCGCTGCAGGCGCCTCCCCCTTGTTTCACCCGGGCCGACCCATCGAAACTCATCACATACAGTTCTTCATTTAGTTCCACTGTGGGCGTCGGTAGGTCGGCCACTTGCCTGGACTGCTTCTTGGGAGCAATTGACGACAGAATGGAGTCCACATTCTTTCGAGGCGTGATGCTGGCTGCTAACGCCCCCAGTACCTGGTCCTCGCCTTTCTTGCATTTCACAATCTCCAAAGTCCACTGTGACAACAGAGCGGCCCAGTTTCCTAAGCGAACTTGCAACCCCGAAGACTTCACTAGCCAGGCTAGTGTAGAATGCCTCGTCAGAACCTTGAGAGGTCGGGTGACCAACATCGTGAAGCAAGTTTCCAATATTCGTAACAACGCCAACACTTCCTTTTCCACTGTGCTATAGTTCACCTCGTTTGACTTGAGGGTTCGGCTCGTAAACATTACCGGCATATACAGGCCGTCGTAATTCTGCACCAACGACGCCGAGATAGCCCAATCACTTGCGTAGACAATGATGACCGCCTCTCTAGCCGGGTCGAAATGTCGTAGGATGGACGCTGTAGCAATCTTGTTCTTGAGCATGGCAAACGCTACTTGTACCTTCGACCATTTTTCTTCGTCGTCTTCCTGGGCCGTCACTTCCTCGTTAGCCTTCCATTTGCACCTCCAAGCGTGAAAATCCACCTCTCTCAGTTCGTAAAGGATCGACGCGTATATGGCATAATCTTCGATGTACCTGCTGTAGTAATTTAGGCTTCCTAGAAAGGACTGCATAGCCTTCAGCGTTGTCGGTAGAGGTAGGTCGACCAAAGACTGAAGATCTTTTGGGTGGGCCTCTAGTCCCCCTTTGGAAACTCGATGTCCAAGATACTCGACCTTCCGATATCCCCACGTACTCTTGACGGCACTGACCGACAAATTCCAATAGTCACACACGTCTAGCAGCCGCTCCACTTTCTGGCATAATACATCCCACGATTAGGCCGGAACAAGTATGTCGTCAATGTATGATCGTCGACCCAACATTGAGAGGCCCGATTTTGCATCGGGTTCCCCTGTTGCGAACAAATCCTTTGTTTCCTCTGTGGCCGCCCCTGGCGAAATCCGTAAGAATCCATATAACGCATTATCCAACAACCTTTGATATATCTGAGGCGCATTCTTAAGCCCAAAAGGCATCCGAAGCCATTCAAATAATCCCAGTGGCGTAACGAACGCTGAGATTAGTCTCGCCCTTTCGGTCATACTGAATACCCAAAAACCACTCGCCATGTCACCACAAAGCTCTGTCCAGGTCCTCCAGTAGTTCGTTAATCAATGGTATAGGGTATACCATAAGCTGGTTGAGATCATTCACCAACCGATAGTCGATACACAATCGAATATCGACCCCATTCTTCTTCACGATAATTACAATTGGGCTGGCCCATGGCGAGGTGGAAGGCTGAATGATCTTTGCTGATAACAGTCCCTTGACAGGTCGGCTAGCTTCTCTCTGAATTGAGGGGCCACCTTCCGTACGCGTTGCGCGATCGGTCTTGCGTTCCCCACATCGATATCGTATATCGCTCCTCGGGCGGCCGGGGGTAAAGCGTTACCTTTGCCCATCAGAGATGTCGTTTCTTCCATATTATTGTCGCAATCGGTCCACCTCTTCGGGAGTATTCCCATCTGGATCAGGAATCTGTATATCTTCTAACGCAATGCCTTCGGATGAGGGGTCCACTTCCGGTACGACCGCCCACCCTGGCCTTATGTCCTCGGCCCAAAGTTCCCCACTCTCGAAAGAACACACCTGGTCATCTGCCTGTAACAAGTCTACCAGTTTGGCTTCCTTCTCCATGGTAGTGATCACTACAGGTAGGTCTTCCTTAGCTACACTCCGTTCCTGGATAGACCCCTCCTGCCAATTCACCTCTTCTTCGCACGGTTGTTCATCTCTGTCGGGTATTGGTTGGTACGTCATATTCATCATTGGGGTTGGGGCCGCTGGTCGCTGTAAGATGTGTGACGGAGTCTTATATTCTGGTCTCTCCACTATTGGCCCCTCTTCCTCTTCCGTTGGGTCGGCCTGATGGTCGACTTGGTCGGTGGTAGATTCATAAGTCAGATTTAGCCATTCCGCATATCTTCGAGAGCCCACCGAGACAAACCCTGGCGTTCTCGGAACTTGCTCCCTAGTCAATCACATACCTACCTTGGTATCTTCATGCAATGTTAAGGGGCGAGGGCTGACATTGGTTATCTTCAAAATCGGTCGACGCCCTATCCCTTGTATCATGGTGGTTACCCATCGTTCGCCTCTCGTTACCCACAATTTCCACTGTTCTGAGGTCGACCTTTTGAGAGGCACTTCCGTACATCCTCCAACGGATATCTGTACATACCGACCCAATTTCACATCCGATACTCGAGTATTGTACAGTGTCCTTCGCCCGGTCAACTGTACCCTGACTTCATCGGGGAGGCAAAGAGTTCCGTCGGCCAAGTCTAACCGGATACCGGCTGGGACCATGAAGTCCATCCCCAAAATTGCATCCTGGCCTACCATAGGGTCTACCCACACCTTAAAGATGTACACCAAGTTCCCATTCAGAATGACCTTGATGCGAGTGCGTCCCTCCGTGGTGTATACGGCTTCCCCAATACCAATACATTCTTGTCGTTCACTTTCATCAATTTGGCAGCCTACCTTACGAGCAAAGGCGATATCCAGAATGGATATCTCGGCACCAGTATCGAGCAACAAATTTGCATGGTCGTTGTTGACCTTTCCAGAGGCTTTCGCTTGCCTGAACCATTTAGTAGGGGCGTGGTATTTCCAGTACCCCCTAGACTCTCCTGGCAATAAGTCCAACTCCATTACTGAACTTTCTCGAACAAAATTATTAGGTTCATTCAAAGAAGCAACATGGACCACAGGGTAATTTCCAATCTTCGATATATTTCCAATCTTAACTGGAATACCCGTCCCCTCCTTGGGCTGTTTCTCCACATATGCAAAGATGCAACAATTAGAACGCTCGGCTCGTACCAGATTCCAACCTGGCGAGCGTCCTAATTTGCCATCTTCTCGTGTTTCTCCGGGAACATCCCTGCATGCTTGGCTGGATTGTACCATTGGCGGAACAAATTATAGAACTCCTCCATCTGGCACTTCCCAATATCGTGAATCTCTCCACAACCCCGGCATACAAACAGGCAGCGATCAGACGGGTGACTCTTCCTTCCACAGCGGTCGCAGGTCAATCTTTTTCAGCAATTCAGATCTCCATGTTTCTTGGACCCGCAATATGCACATCTCGTGTTTGGGGTCGCTGATGATGGGCCGGGTCGCTGGTCTACTGCCTGGCGATGTGGTCGGCCTCTCTAGTCGGTAGATTCTTTGAGAACCTCACACTTGGGTCCCTATCTGCTTCTTTCTCCATAAGGTAGACTCGTCTTAGTTCTCCTTCGTTCTCCGAAGAGTCTGGGCTGCAATCTTCAGAGCTCGAGTCTTCCAGAGGCGTCCGTACTGCATGATGGAGCGGCGATTCATATCTCTCGGCCTCTCGGGTAGTGTTGGTGCCTTCTGACGAAACTTGTTTGATCCAAACAGCATCTTGCCTCGTCTTGCTTTCGTCCGCTGACATGCTGTCAATACTTCCTCCAATTCTTCCACGTCCGCCAGACGCAACATAGTCAACTTGTCTGCTAGCTCCGGGTCGTCCACCGTCAAAATGTAGTGATCGACATGATCCTTCTGAACCTTGGGCGACCCATCCTTAATCTTCATCTTCGCCCTGAGTCCAAGCACATTCGGCGGTACAGATAATCCAGCGGGGTCTCTTCCGACCTTTTCTTCGCATGGTAGTACTGGCGGGCGACCGGTACCCCGGTGCCACAGAACCGAATCATGAACTCTGGCATTAGGTCCTTCCAGTTTCCTTGGACTGAGCGACCCAGTTGACGGTACCAATTCTGTGCCGGTCCAGTCAGCAATCCTCCAAAAACGAGACATCGTTCATCATCTGGTGCTTGGTCTCTTATAAATGCTGTCTTGACCGTCGATACCCAGCTGCGCGCTCTGTCTTCGTCTTGGTCTCTTCCATGAAATTCTTTAAGGTCCGAGTCGCCGATAGTTTGATGCGAGGGACATCTGTCCCAGCGCTGCGTTCGCCATCATCGACTGAGGTCCCCTCAAATCCATGTTGTCAGGGTCGAACTCACAGGAACCGACGGATTCCATATCGACGTCGGTCATAGTGTGGCCTCTTGGCATTTGTATGCCTGGATGCTGGTCATGGTGAGCGGTCGTCCTTTGCGCCTCTGGTCTTCCTCCTGCTACATTCCCGTTAGGGTGTGCCCGCGGTACTTGGCGTTCATTTAAAAATCTTGCCATGGCCGCGTCGAAGAGGGTCTGCAGATCGCCTACCGGGTAGGTAGGTCCTCCCCCCCCCAGCATATTCGTCACGGGGCAGAGCAAATTCCAATTTTTTCTCGTGATGATTTTCCATTGGTTGAAAATCGGAATGATTTTCATTCTTGCCACGCGTCGCCGTTTCAAGACCACTTGGCTCCTGCTCCGCGCTGCGCGCTCGGGCCTGGAGCAGCGCCGCTTCAGTAGGGCCTAGGGGCATCCTAGTGACCGACCCAGTTGAGGACGACCCTGGAGACCACGGTGCTGCTTCCCTCTGGCCGCTTGGCATCAGGTGTTGAGATGGGCCTTGATTAGCCTCTGGGTGGCCGGAGGCTCCGTACATGTGGGGACCCACCGTGATGTCTTGAAGCGTCATCTGGCTGTCCTTGGACTGCATGTGTGTAGGTGTCACCAGAGGTGGGTGTTCCGTTGCTGGTGTGGTACCCACCAGGATCGACAGACGCTTGTGCATATGCTCTAACGTTGTTGTGATTCTGTCGAGCCCCAGGGATAGCAGATCGTCCGGGTCGAACCGACCTGCGACCATGTTCGCTTCACGAAGCAAGGTGACCAGCGCTGTGATCGCGTCCGTGACGGAGTGCAGCCGTGCAGGGTCGACACCGGCCCAGTGAGTTGACCCAGCTGCCGGATCTCCAGGGTCTTCGCGACGGGGTCGCTCTCCAGGAACGCGTTCAGCTTGCGTTGGTGGTAGGCCCTCGTGGCATCAGCGTCTGTCCATGATGCCAGTCCTGACTTCTCGGGGACTATCGACTTGGTGTTTCCGGGTGCCTTCATCCGGAACTTCGTCTGCTTGGATTGCGCGATCTTGTTTTTTGTTTGTTCGGGGACCTTAACCTCTCGGTTTTCACCGTCGGCTGATGGTCCTCTGGATCATGATAGGCGTCATTACCCAAGGTATCCTCTACGAGGCCATAGGGAGGGTATTTAGGGTTTATCTTCAATGAATTCAACCTCGACCATGTTGACCGGGCCCCTCCCAAGGCCCGGTCGGTCCTTCGATCCTTTGTTTGTTTCTTCTTGAGTCACTGGCGACCGGTCTTCCAGTTACTCTTCGGTCTTGTGCTCCTTCTTGACATGAACATCTGTATCGTCTTGGGAATCGCGGTGAAATCCCGCGTCTTCCGAAGATCCGGGCACGCGCACCATTGTGGTGGAGTGGGTTCTCAAAATTGTATGATGAGACCCCAAACCACTCACTGTGCCGGACTGCCGACTGTCGGAGGGGGTACCCCGATGCCGCGTATGAGCCTTCTCTCATCCTGTGTACCCGTCGGCTGGCGGGTTGCACTCTTCGGAGGACTTGGTGAAGATGTCGACGTCTGCCTTGAGGGAGGTAGACCTGGGGGGCCTCGAGTGGATATGCTTCACTCGGTGGGCCGGTAGGTGGCCACTCGATCGACCTTGTCGAGAGTGGACTTAGAGCCAAATTCTTCAGGGAGCTTATCCCTGGCCTTTTCCTTCTTTTTTCAGGGGTATTAACCACCTGACCTTTACGTTGCTCACGGACCTTTGTGGTGAAGTATGAATTTTGTGATGTGGAGGTCCCAGACTCCAGTTGGATGCGGAGTATAGGCCGTGGGTCAGGGACAGGGGACCAGAGAGACAGGGGCCTCGAAGGGGAGCGACCGTTGGTGGAGAACAATCCGCAGGATCCACCGAAGAAAATCAGTATCAGGGTACCGGTTAACCGGTACCAAAGGGAGTTGATCATGGCCGCTTATTGATCGACCTGACCCTTCGTTGGTAGATTCGGGTCCCTCATTGGTAAACACGGTCCCTCGCTGGTCGACCTCGGCCCCTCGGGGTTCGGCCACTCCGGACCAGTTAATACAAGGATCAGACTAGTCGACGCAAGGAATCAGAGCTTCAGGCAAGGATAGAGTAAAGGAGTTAAAAGGATAGGAATATATTAAATACTACTCAATTTGCGATCTACGTGGCACGACTCCGTCACCCAAGAAGAACTTGCTCTAAGTTACTCACTGTTCCGGGAAAAGAGATATATTTGTCCCCCCCCCCCGTCGAAGACAGTTGTGTAGCGAAGTTCAAGGGCGAATAGAGCTCCAGGATATATTTGGCCTGTGAGCTCGTTCGAGTAGCAACACCCCCCCCCAAGACCCGCTATCGGAAGCGGTCTCCTTCACCACAAAGGTCCGTGAGCAACGTAAAGGTCAGGTGGTTAATACCCCTGAAAAAAGAAGGAAAAGGCCAGGGATAAGCTCCCTGAAGAATTTGGCTCTAAGTCCACTCTCGACAAGGTCGATCGAGTGGCCACCTACCGGCCCACCGAGTGAAGCATATCCACTCGAGGCCCCCCCAGGTCTACCTCCCTCAAGGCAGACGTCGACATCTTCACCAAGTCCTCCGAAGAGTGCAACCCGCCAGCCGACGGGTACACAGGATGAGAGAAGGCTCATACGCGGCATCGGGGTACCCCCTCCGACAGTCGGCAGTCCGGCACAGTGAGTGGTTTGGGGTCTCATCATACAATTTTGAGAACCCACTCCACCACAATGGTGCGCGTGCCCGGATCTTCGGAAGACGCGGGATTTCACCGCGATTCCCAAGACGATACAGATGTTCATGTCAAGAAGGAGCACAAGACCGAAGAGTAACTGGAAGACCGGTCGCCAGTGACTCAAGAAGAAACAAACAAAGGATCGAAGGACCGACCGGGCCTTGAGAGGGGCCCGGTCAACATGGTCGAGGTTGAATTCATTGAAGATAAACCCTAAATACCCTCCCTATGGCCTCGTAGAGGATACCTTGGGTAATGACGCCTATCATGATCCAGAGGACCATCAGCCGACGGTGAAAACCGAGAGGTTAAGGTCCCCGAACAAACAAAAAACAAGATCGCGCAATCCAAGCAGACGAAGTTCCGGATGAAGGCACCCGGAAACACCAAGTCGATAGTCCCCGAGAAGTCAGGACTGGCATCATGGACAGACGCTGATGCCACGAGGGCCTACCACCAACGCAAGCTGAACGCGTTCCTGGAGAGCGACCCCGTCGCGAAGACCCTGGAGATCCGGCAGCTGGGTCAACTCACTGGGCCGGTGTCGACCCTGCACGGCTGCACTCCGTCACGGACGCGATCACAGCGCTGGTCACCATGCTTCGTGAAGCGAACATGGTCGCAGGTCAGTTCGACCCGGACGATCTGCTATCCCTGGGGCTCGACAGAATCACAACAACGTTAGAGCATATGCACAAGCGTCTGTCGATCCTGGTGGGTACCACACCAGCAACGGAACACCCACCTCTGGTGACACCTACACACATGCAGTCCAAGGACAGCCAGATGACGCTTCAAGACATCACGGTGGGTCCCCACATGTACGGAGCCTCCGGCCACCCAGAGGCTAATCAAGGCCCATCTCAACACCTGATGCCAAGCGGCCAGAGGGAAGCAGCACCGTGGTCTCCAGGGTCGTCCTCAACTGGGTCGGTCACTAGGATGCCCCTAGGCCCTACTGAAGCGGCGCTGCTCCAGGCCCGAGCGCGCAGCGCGGAGCAGGAGCCAAGTGGTCTTGAAACGGCGACGCGTGGCAAGAATGAAAATCATTCCGATTTTCAACCAATGGAAAATCATCACGAGAAAAAATTGGAATTTGCTCTGCCCCGTGACGAATATGCTGGGGGGGAGGACCTACCTACCCGGTAGGCGATCTGCAGACCCTCTTCGACGCGGCCATGGCAAGATTTTTAAATGAACGCCAAGTACCGCGGGCACACCCTAACGGGAATGTAGCAGGAGGAAGACCAGAGGCGCAAAGGACGACCGCTCACCATGACCAGCATCCAGGCATACAAATGCCAAGAGGCCACACTATGACCGACGTCGATATGGAATCCGTCGGTTCCTGTGAGTTCGACCCTGACAACATGGATTTGAGGGGACCTCAGTCGATGATGGCGAACGCAGCGCTGGGACAGATGTCCCTCGCATCAAACTATCGGCGACTCGGACCTTAAAGAATTTCATGGAAGAGACCAAGACGAAGACAGAGCGCGCAGCTGGGTATCGACGGTCAAGACAGCATTTATAAGAGACCAAGCACCAGATGATGAACGATGTCTCGTTTTTGGAGGATTGCTGACTGGACCGGCACAGAATTGGTACCGTCAACTGGGTCGCTCAGTCCGAGGAAACTGGAAGGACCTAATGCCAGAGTTCATGATTCGGTTCTGTGGCACCGGGGTACCGGTCGCCCGCCAGTACTACCATGCGAAGAAAAGGTCGGAAGAGACCCCGCTGGATCATCTGTACCGCCGAATGTGCTTGGACTCAGGGCGAAGATGAAGATTAAGGATGGGTCGCCCAAGGTTCAGAAGGATCATGTCGATCACTACATTTTGACGGTGGACGACCCGGAGCTAGCAGACAAGTTGACTATGTTGCGTCTGGCGGACGTGGAAGAATTGGAGGAAGTATTGACAGCATGTCAGCGGACGAAAGCAAGACGAGGCAAGATGCTGTTTGGATCAAACAAGTTTCGTCAGAAGGCACCAACACTACCCGAGAGGCCGAGAGATATGAATCGCCGCTCCATCATGCAGTACGGACGCCTCTGGAAGACTCGAGCTCTGAAGATTGCAGCCCAGACTCTTCGGAGAACGAAGGAGAACTAAGACGAGTCTACCTTATGGAGAAAGAAGCAGATAGGGACCCAAGTGTGAGGTTCTCAAAGAATCTACCGACTAGAGAGGCCGACCACATCGCCAGGCAGTAGACCAGCGACCCGGCCCATCATCAGCGACCCCAAACACGAGATGTGCATATTGCGGGTCCAAGAAACATGGAGATCTGAATTGCTGAAAAAGATTGACCTGCGACCGCTGTGGAAGGAAGAGTCACCCGTCTGATCGCTGCCTGTTTGTATGCCGGGGTTGTGGAGAGATTCACGATATTGGGAAGTGCCAGATGGAGGAGTTCTATAATTTGTTCCGCCAATGGTACAATCCAGCCAAGCATGCAGGGATGTTCCCGGAGAAACTCGAGAAGATGGCAAATTAGGACGCTCGCCAGGTTGGAATCTGGTACGAGCCGAGCGTTCTAATTGTTGCATCTTTGCATATGTGGAGAAACAGCCCAATGAGGGGACGGGTATTCCAGTTAAGATTGGAAATATATCGAAGATTGGAAATTACCCTGTGGTCCATGTTGCTTCTTTGAATGAACCTAATAATTTTGTTCGAGAAAGTTCAGTAATGGAGTTGGACTTATTGCCAGGAGAGTCTAGGGGGTACTGGAAATACCACGACCCTACTAAATGGTTCAGGCAAGCGAAAGCCTCTGGAAAGGTCAACAACGACCATGCAAATTTGTTGCTCGATACTGGTGCCGAGATATCCATTCTGGATATCGCCTTTGCTCGTAAGGTAGGCTGCCAAATTGATGAAAGTGAACGATAAGAATGTATTGGTATTGGGGAAGCCGTATACACCACGGAGGGACGCACTCGCATCAAGGTCATTCTGAATGGGAACTTGGTGTACATCTTTAAGGTGTGGGTAGACCCTATGGTAGGCCAGGATGCAATTTTGGGGATGGACTTCATGGTCCCAGCCGGTATCCGGTTAGAATTGGCCGACGGAACTCTTTGCCTCCCCGATGAAGTCAGGGTACAGTTGACCGGGCGAAGGACACTGTACAATACTCGAGTATCGGATGTGAAATTGGGTCGGTATGTACAGATATCCGTTGGAGGATGTACGGAAGTGCCTCTCAAAAGGTCGACCTCAGAACAGTGGAAATTGTGGGTAACGAGAGGCGAACGATGGGTAACCACCATGATACAAGGGATAGGGCGTCGACCGATTTTGAAGATAACCAATGTCAGCCCTCGCCCCTTAACATTGCATGAAGATACCAAGGTAGGTATGTGATTGACTAGGGAGCAAGTTCCGAGAACGCCAGGGTTTGTCTCGGTGGGCTCTCGAAGATATGCGGAATGGCTAAATCTGACTTATGAATCTACCACCGACCAAGTCGACCATCAGGCCGACCCAACGGAAGAGGAAGAGGGGCCAATAGTGGAGAGACCAGAATATAAGACTCCGTCACACATCTTACAGCGACCAGCGGCCCCAACCCCAATGATGAATATGACGTACCAACCAATACCCGACAGAGATGAACAACCGTGCGAAGAAGAGGTGAATTGGCAGGAGGGGTCTATCCAGGAACGGAGTGTAGCTAAGGAAGACCTACCTGTAGTGATCACTACCATGGAGAAGGAAGCCAAACTGGTAGACTTGTTACAGGCAGATGACCAGGTGTGTTCTTTCGAGAGTGGGGAACTTTGGGCCGAGGACATAAGGCCAGGGTGGGCGGTCGTACCGGAAGTGGACCCCTCATCCGAAGGCATTGCGTTAGAAGATATACAGATTCCTGATCCAGATGGGAATACTCCCGAAGAGGTGGACCGATTGCGACAATAATATGGAAGAAACGACATCTCTGATGGGCAAAGGTAACGCTTTACCCCCGGCCGCCCGAGGAGCGATATACGATATCGATGTGGGGAACGCAAGACCGATCGCGCAACGCGTACGGAAGGTGGCCCCTCAATTCAGAGAGAAGCTAGCCGACCTGTCAAGGGACTGTTATCAGCAAAGATCATTCAGCCTTCCACCTCGCCATGGGCCAGCCCAATTGTAATTATCGTGAAGAAGAATGGGGTCGATATTCGATTGTGTATCGACTATCGGTTGGTGAATGATCTCAACCAGCTTATGGTATACCCTATACCATTGATTAACGAACTACTGGAGGACCTGGACAGAGCTTTGTGGTGACATGGCGAGTGGTTTTTGGGTATTCAGTATGACCGAAAGGGCGAGACTAATCTCAGCGTTCGTTACGCCACTGGGATTATTTGAATGGCTTCGGATGCCTTTTGGGCTTAAGAATGCGCCTCAGATATATCAAAGGTTGTTGGATAATGCGTTATATGGATTCTTACGGATTTCGCCAGGGGCGGCCACAGAGGAAACAAAGGATTTGTTCGCAACAGGGGAACCCGATGCAAAATCGGGCCTCTCAATGTTGGGTCGACGATCATACATTGACGACATACTTGTTCCGGCCTAATCGTGGGATGTATTATGCCAGAAAGTGGAGCGGCTGCTAGACGTGTGTGACTATTGGAATTTGTCGGTCAGTGCCGTCAAGAGTACGTGGGGATATCGGAAGGTCGAGTATCTTGGACATCGAGTTTCCAAAGGGGGACTAGAGGCCCACCCAAAAGATCTTCAGTCTTTGGTCGACCTACCTCTACCGACAACGCTGAAGGCTATGCAGTCCTTTCTAGGAAGCCTAAATTACTACAGCAGGTACATCGAAGATTATGCCATATACGCGTCGATCCTTTACGAACTGAGAGAGGTGGATTTTCACGCTTGGAGGTGCAAATGGAAGGCTAACGAGGAAGTGACGGCCCAGGAAGACGACGAAGAAAAATGGTCGAAGGTACAAGTAGCGTTTGCCATGCTCAAGAACAAGATTGCTACAGCGTCCATCCTACGACATTTCGACCCGGCTAGAGAGGCGTTCATCATTGTCTACGCAAGTGATTGGGCTATCTCGGCGTCGTTGGTGCAGAATTACGACGGCCTGTATATGCCGGTAATGTTTACGAGCCGAACCCTCAAGTCAAACGAGGTGAACTATAGCACAGTGGAAAAGGAAGTGTTGGCGTTGTTACGAATATTGGAAACTTGCTTCACGATGTTGGTCACCCGACCTCTCAAGGTTCTGACGAGGCATTCTACACTAGCCTGGCTAGTGAAGTCTTCGGGGTTGCAAGTTCGCTTAGGAAACTGGGCCGCTCTGTTGTCACAGTGGACTTTGGAGATTGTGAAATGCAAGAAAGGCGAGGACCAGGTACTGGGGGCGTTAGCAGCCAGCATCACGCCTCGAAAGAATGTGGACTCCATTCTGTCGTCAATTGCTCCCAAGAAGCAGTCCAGGCAAGTGGCCGACCTACCGACGCCCACAGTGGAACTAAATGAAGAACTGTATGTGATGAGTTTCGATGGGTCGGCCCGGGTGAAACAAGGGGGAGGCGCCTGCAGCGCTATTGTGTGGAGACTCCCTGCATGGACTATAGTCGCAGCTGCGTCGAAATATCTCGACAAGTCTACGGTGAATGAAGCTGAATATGAGGGCATGTTACTGGGTTTTGACCTGTTGGAGCCAATGGAGCGACGGCGTTTGATTATTTGTGGAGACTCCAATCTGGTTATAAGACAGATTCGTGGAGAGATTGAATGCAAAGCTTCAGGTTTATCCCCGTTGCGGGCCAAGGCGTTGAGTAAGCTCCAGTCGTGGTCCACCCACGCAGTATTACATGTGAAACGAGACTGGAATCAGAGCGTAGACCAATTGGCCAGTGCGGCTTTACATCAGCAGCAAGGGGTCGAGTCGATACCAAGAGGAGAGTGGTCGGGTCTAGAAACAATCAATCGGCTGCCAGAGGTGTTAGTCCCTAGAGACCGAGGCCAGTCGGTCAAGGTATCTGCGGTGACGAGATCACGGTTTCCCGTCAGAATATCTGGAGAGGTCATACAAGAAGATGTGGTACAACAACTCCGGATGGAAAGGATCCGAGATGCGCAAGAAGAGGAGAGCTGGGTACGCGAGTTGAAGGCATATTTGAATGGATACTGGAAGGACTTGTCAGTGGAATTGGCCCGAACTTGCAGCAAAATGTCGGAAGATTACGAGATAAGTGAAGAAGGACTGCTGGTGTATTGCCCCGGCCAGAGGACCAAGGGAGACGACCGAGACATAACTGCCAGATTGGTGATACCTGAGAGTCTCCAAGCCGACGTCCTCCATCACTATCATAAGAGTTTGGAAGGTGGCCATCAGGGAATCGGGCGTAATTATCATCGGATCAGACAATACTGTCATTGGAGGGGTCTGTTCCGGAGTGTTCAGAAATATGTGGGTCAGTGCATGGATTGTGAGACTGGGAAAGGGAGACCCACTTTACAAGGGAAGTCTCTGGGGAATGTGAAGCGACGTACCCCTTCCAAATTATCGCGATGGACCACATATCATCTCTCCCCAAGTCACATAAAGGTAATACGGAACTACTGATCTGGGTCGACCTGTTCACAGGTTATGTGATGGCTAAAGCAAGTGCGTCACGGACACCCAGACAGTAGCTGAGGAATATGAAGAATGCGTTTTCCGCCGTTTTGGTGCCAGTGAGATGATCCGTCACGATCGGGAACCGGGGTTTGTGTCGGACTTCTTCCGAGCGTTCAGTCGTATGGTGGGTCAACGTCAGAGAGCGACCATGGCCTACCGACCTCAAGCGAACGGCACTGCGGAGAGAATGGTCCAGACTCTAACAAGATCGCTCAAGATGTACGTGTGGTGAAGTGGCCAGGAGAATCGGGGCCCAGGGTACCAAGGCCCCAGGTACAAGGGTACAGGGGCCCCAGGGTACAAGGGCCCAGGCCTCGCAAGGTCCCAAGGTTCAATCGAGGGTCACCAGGGACACGGTTTCCAGTCACCAGGGACCGGAGTACTAGTCACCGGGAACAGGGTTTTCAGTTACCGAGGACAGGGCTACCAGTGACCGGGGATAGGGTTTCTAGTAACCGGGGACAAGGGTATCAGTCGCCAGGGACAGGGCTTCAAGGACAGGGGTACCAGCTACAGGGGACAGGGGTATTGAACGTCCAGGTTACCGGGGACAGGGATACCAGTTACCGGGGACAGGGTTTCTAGCAACCGGGGACAAGGGTATCAGTCACCATGGACAGGGCACCAGGGACAGGGGTACCAGCTATCGGAGACAGGGGTATCGAACGTCCAGGGTCAAAGGTACAAGGTTACCCTACCGGGCGCACACCAGGATTCGAAGGGTCCAGTGCCCCGAGGTGGTCCAAGGTCCTAAGTTCAAAGAAGGTACAAGGTATTTCTACGTGCAGAGACAGTACAGGATTCAAGGTCCAAGGGCCCACGGTACAAGAGACCAGGGTATCAGGGACCTGGGTACAGAGTGCAGGGCACCGGGGTAACGGGGCCCAGGGGGTACCGGGGTACCGGGGCCCAGCTGTGGAGAAGTGCCAGAGAAATGGGGGGGCCTTCGAAGTTATTATAATAACTGGCGTGAAAGATCTCGGTAACTCTCTTGAATGAGTGACAGGGAGTGACCAGGGCCCCGAACTGGCCCAAGGTCCCGAGTTCGGAGAAGGTACTAGGATGTCCTACACTACAGACCAAAGGACTAGTGCTGCTAGGGCAGCTTAGGTGGACCCCAGGTAACGGGTGGGTCCCAGACAACAGGTGGACCCAGGTGACCGGTGGACCCCAGGTGACAGGATGACCCAGGTGACCGGTGGACCCAGGTGACCAGTGGACCCCAGGCGACAGGTGGGTCCCATGTGACAGGTGGACCCCAGGCGATAGGTGGACCCAGGTGACTGTTGGACCCAGGTGACCGGTGGACCCCAGGGAATAGAAGGCACACGGCTTCCTTAAAGTGCAGAGCCGGTACAAGTCCAGTGGTGGAGTGGATTCTCAAACGACGTGAGAGAACCACAAACACACACAGCGCCGGACTGCCGACTTACGGAGGGGGTACTCCGATACCGTGTCGCGTCAACCTTGGGTCTCACCTTGTGTACCCGTCGGCTTGGCTGGTCTTGCTCCTCGTTAGACGCAGAAGACTTAAAGAGTTGGTCCTTGTATGGAGGGACTTGGGGGCCACGAGTGGATATGCTTCACTCGGGCCCAGGGTTTCTTGGGCTCAATCGACTGGGTCGAGAGCAGTGCACCTGGTACTATGTACCCCTTCGGTGGCTAACGGTTTCTTGGTCTTTCGACCCCTTTTCTTGTTCCCCGCAGGGAAACCGCTTCCTATAGCGGGTCGTAGAATGGGTACGAACCCACAGGCCAAAATACTTCCTGGGGTTCGTTCGAGCTTGAATCTTACCACACGTCTGTCTTCAACGGGGGGGCCAAAATAAATCCCTTCCCCGGAACAGGTGGGTAGATCGAAACAAGCTAGCACTTGAGTCTTGACACCTCAGGCCAACTATCCTGAGGTTCGACTTGCGTTGCTTGAGCCGTCACCTCACCTGACGTCGGTGGGCCAAAGGGTATCCCGCCCGGAATAGGTGAGGTGACGGAGAAGCTTGTAGGAAGCGCTTGGAGCTGCCACGTGTAATGCAAATTCGAGTGTGTTTATTTATCTTATTCTCTGTATGCTTTTCTTGCCAAACCCTAACCCTTCGCTCTGGATGGTACCACGTGTCAACTTGTGGAAGAACAACTGGCTCTTTTAGGACATGGGACTTGTACCGGCTCTGCACTTTAAGGAAGCCTTGTGCCTTCTATTCCCTGGGGTCCACCGGTCACCTGGGTCCAACAGTCACCTGGGTCCACCGGTCACCTAGGTCCACCGGTCACCTGGGTCCACCTGTTGTCTGGGGTCCACCTGTCACGGGGGGCCCACCTGTCACCTGGGGTACACTGGACCTGGGGTCCACCGGTCACCTGGGTCAACCTGTCGCCGGGGGTCCACCTGTTACCGGGGGTCCACCTGTCACGGGGGGTCCACCTGTCACCTGGGGTCCACTGGCCACCTGGGTCAATCTGTCACCTGGGTCAACCTGTCACTGGGGGGTCAATCTGTTACCTGGGGTCAACCTGTCACTGGGGGGTCAATCTGTTACCTGGGGTCCACCGGTCACCTGGGTCCAACAGTCACCTGGGTCCACCTATCGCCTGGGGTCCACCTGTCGCCTGGGGTCCACTGGTTACCTGGGTCCACCGGTCACCTGGGTCATCCTGTCACCTGGGGTCCACCGGTCACCTGGGTCCACCTATTGTCTGGGACCCACCTGTTACCTGGGGTCCACCAAAGCTGCCCTTGCAGCACTAGTCCTTTGGTCTGTAGTGTAGGACATCCTAGTATCTTCTCTGAACTCGGGACCTTGGACCAGTTCGGGGCCCTGGTCACTCCCTGTCACTCATTCAAGAGAGTTACCGAGATCTTTCACGCCAGTTATTATAATAACTTCGAAGGCCCCCCCATTTCTCTGGCACTTCTCCACAGCTGGGCCCCAGTACCCCGGTACCCCTGGGCCCCGTTACCCCGGTGCCCTGCACTCTGTACCCAGGTCCCTGATACCCTGGTCTCTTGTACCGTGGGCCCTTGTACCTTGAATCCTGTACTGTCTCTGCACGTAGAAATACCTTGTACCTTCTTTGAACTTAGGACCTTGGACCACCTCGGGGCACTGGACCCTTCGAATCCTGGTGTGCGCCCGGTAGGGTAACCTTGTACCTTTGACCCTGGACGTTCGATACCCCTGTCTCCGATAGCTGGTACCCCTGTCCCTGGTGCCCTGTCCCTGGTGATTGGAAACCTTGTCCCTGGTTACTAGAAACCCTGTCCCCGGTAACTGATATCCCTGTCCCCGGTAACTGAAAACCCTGTCCCTGGTGACTAGTACCCCGGTCCCTGGTAACTGGTATCCCTGTCCCCGGTAACTGAAAACCTTGTCCCTGGTGACTAGGAACCCGCGTCCCTGGTGACTGGTACCCTTGTCCCTGGTGACCCTCGGTTGAACCTTGGAACCTTGCGAGTCCTGGGTTCTTGTACCCTGGTACCCTGGTCTCTTGTACCGTGGGCCCTTGGACCTTGGAGCCTGTACTGTCTCTGCACGTAGAAATACCTTGTACCTTCTTTGAACTTAGGACCCTGGACCACCTCGGGGCACTGGCCCTTTCGGGTCCTGGTGTGCGCCCGGTAGGGTAACCTTGTACCTTTGACCCTGGACGTTCGATACCCCTGTCTCCGATAGCTGGTACCCCTGTCTCTGGTGCCCTGTCCCTGGTGATTGGAAACCTTGTCCCTGGTTACTAGAAACCCCCCCTGTCCCCGGTAACTGAAAACCCTGTCCCTGGTGACTAGTACCCCGGTCCCTGGTAACTGGTATCCCTGTCCCCGGAAACTGAAAACCTTGTCCCTGGTGACTAGGAACCCGCGTCCCTGGTGACTGGTACCCTTGTCCCTGGTGACCCTCGGTTGAACCTTGGAACCTTGCGAGTCCTGGGTTCTTGTACCCTGGTACCCTGGTCTCTTGTACCGTGGGCCCTTGGACCTTGGAGCCTGTACTGTCTCTGCACGTAGAAATACCTTGTACCTTCTTTGAACTTAGGACCCTGGACCACCTCGGGGCACTGGCCCTTTCGGGTCCTGGTGTGCGCCCGGTAGGGTAACCTTGTACCTTTGACCCTGGACGTTCGATACCCCTGTCTCCGATAGCTGGTACCCCTGTCCCTGGTGCCCTGTCCCTGGTGATTGGAAACCTTGTCCCTGGATACTAGAAACCCTGTCCCCGGTAACTGGTATCCCTGTCCCCGGTAACTGAAAACCCTGTCCCTGGTGACTAGTACCCCGGTCCCTGGTAACTGGTATCCCTGTCCCCGGTAACTGAAAACCTTGTCCCTGGTGACTAGGAACCCGCGTCCCTGGTGACTGGTACCCTTGTCCCTGGTGACCCTCGGTTGAACCTTGGAACCTTGCGAGTCCTGGGTTCTTGTACCCTGGTACCCTGGTCTCTTGTACCGTGGGCCCTTGGACCTTGGATCCTGTACTGTCTCTGCACGTAGAAATACCTTGTACCTTCTTTGAACATAGGACCTTGGACCACCTCGGGGCACTGGACCCTTCGAATCCTGTTGTGCGCACGGTAGGGTAATCTTGTACCTTTGACCCTGGACGTTCGATACCCCTGTCTCCGATAGCTGGTACCCCTGTCCCTGGTTACTAGAAACCCTGTCCCCGGTAACTGGTATCCCTGTCCCTGGTGCCCTGTCCCTGGTGACTGATAACCTTGTCCCCGGTTGCTAGAAACCCTGTCCCCGGTAACGGAAAACTCTGTCCCTAGTGACTAGTACTCCGGTCCCTGGTGACTAGAAACCCTGTCCCTGGTGACCCTCGATTGAACCTTGGGACCTTGCGAGGCCTGGGCCCTTGTACCCTAAGGCCCCTGTACCCTGGTACCCTGGGGCCTTGGTACTCTGGGCCCCGATCCTCCTGGCACTTCACCACAGAAGCATTGAAGTAGAATGACCACATGGACATTTACTGCTATTCCAAAGGGACAGGACAAGGGTGCACGTGGTCTTGTCGCAGTTCGGAAGACCAGCGCGCACGGGACAGCTGTGGTGAAGTGGCCAGGAGAATCGGGGCCCAGAGTACCAAGGCCCCAGGGTACCAGGGTACAGGGGCCTTAGGGTACAAGGGCCCAGGCCTCGCAAGGTCCCAAGGTTCAATCGAGGGTCACCAGGGACAGGGTTTCCAGTCACCAGGGACCGGAGTACTAGTCACTAGGGACAGAGTTTTACGTTACCGGGGAC